GTACCTTGGTTTCGGGCACATCCCCAGTAGGGAGTGTGCAGGAGGCAGCTGATTGATGTTTCTCTCTCATCAATGTTTCTCTCACCCTCTCCTTTCCTCTCCATAAAAAAACAATAAAGTATATTTTTAAAAGTAATAAAATAAAATATGCATACTAAAAAAATTAAAAAATAATAAAAAATAAAAATGTACACACTATACCTCACCACCCAATTCCTGCCTCATCGCCTTCACGACCTGGACTGGCACGTCCTCCCAGCTCGTGTCCAGGGCAGCCAACAGGGCCAGCTCAGGCCTTTCCTGTTGACTCTTCCCAGATGCCACTCATTTCCTGCTCGGTAACATGTGCTCGGTCACACGATGAAGTTTTGTAAAATCGGGGACCCACCTCAGGAGCATGTGTACCCTCTTACACAACCCCTCGAACAGCCCTTCATAAACAGAAGTGCTCTCTCAGTGCTCACAGCCCTTAGAAAGAGCCTTTCACATTCTCCCATCAGAACCTACGAGCCTTTAAGAGAAAAATGCAGAAAGCATTCCAAACCTTTTCACAATAAAAGCCACTGCCAGTGATGTTACTGGGAAAGACCTCTCACCCGGGAAGACACCGTCTCGGAGGAAACGCCACCTTCCAAGCTAAAAGGACCACGGCAACGTTCTGTTTCCAAAGCCCAAACCTCTGAAGAGTTACTTTAACACATGGGAAAGCCAGAAACCAAATAGAAGCGAGGGTGAACAGGAGGGCGTCTCATTCTGGACTGATGTGTTCTGTATCCCCCTGCCGAGACCTCGCCTGGCCTTGCGGCCCCCTGCCAAGGCCTTCCTCCAGCACCGAGTCCAAGCTCACGGTGAGTCCATGCTCACCGTGAGCCCACGCTCCCGGAGACAGAGGAAATGACACACGACAAGAACAGAAAGCTCCTGCTGGAAAGAGCCAAAAAGATGGTTCTTGGAGCTGCATTGCTTTCAAAGACAAGCTCAATAAATCATGGTCAGATGCACAAACCTGTTTTGTGACATAACAGGAAGCAGAAGCAGGAAACCGGGCTCCAGCCCCCACGCTGGCACTGACCACAGGTGGGTCTCCAACAACCAAGCTGCCCACGACGCCCCGAGGGCAGGCCCAGCGCTGAGGTGCTCCCGCTGCGGGGGCTGGCCTGCACGACCCCAGGACAGACACAGGGGGCCCCAGTCAGGGGCCCGGCCTGCCTGCCCCAGGTGCTGTGCTTCTGCGGCTGAAACCGCCTGACTCACAGCCCAGCTCCGACTCCTGGATGGCAGAGCAGACTCCCACCCCTTCTCTTATCAAACGCCAACTACAGAGGAAAGAGAAGCACGCTCCGCCTAGGAGATGCAAGAAACCCCACACGAGCATGAACAGAAGACTCGGGGTAGGGACCCCACACAAGGCTCAGAAGTGGGGGTGATGCCTGCAGCTACAAAGGGGTGTGGATGTGAACACCCACGTGAGGAACGCGGGACTCTCCCGCCTGCACACGCAGTCAAGCCCTCCTCTTCCGTAGCTTGGGACGCCGGAGGCCAGCTCAGTAAGCTCCACCGGAAACGGACCACAGGGAAGGTGGGCACAAAGGAGCCAGGAGCAAGCTCCTCCGCTGAAGCAGGAACACTGGGTAAAGGTGCCCTGAGCCCTGGCAGGCCTCCTCCTGTTCTTTAACCTTCCGGACATCCGCTTACACCAACAAGAGGGGAAGCGCCCTCTCCACAGAAGCCAACCGCAGACAGGAGCATCGGGGAGAGCCAGCGAAAGCGCTAGTAGCATCACCCTCCAACAAGCACACAAGACCCCACACAGCCTTCCATCCCATCCCTTTTCTCTGAAGGCGAAACGCAGCCAGGGGGCCACCGGACACTGGAGGTCTCCAGCAAGAAAGCAAGAGCCCGAACGATACATCACAGAGCATGCAGGGAAACAGAAACTGCGAGAAACAAACACTTTTAATAACCTCTCCATTGACTTTTAGAGAGAGGGAGTGGGGGAGGGAGAAAGAAACATTGATGTAGGAGTGGAACATCCATCGACTGCTCCTGCGCGCTCCCTACAGGAGGGATCAAGCCCACAACGTTTGTGGTGCATCTGATTATGTCCCCAACTGAGCCACACGATCAGAGCTTTTTAATAATTTTTATTTTACCTGTAATTGAAAAAATTTAACTTAAATTGAAATAAAGAATATTATACACATAAAACAAGAACAGGAGGTATTTGTACAAGAACAGAGAACAGTAAAGAACATGGAAGCAGAAGTTAAAAATTCAGTGAAAGAACTGGAAAGTAATCAAAGACGCCCAAAAAGGTAGAACAAGAAGATGAATGCATGACAAGCCTAACACTCAAGTAAAGGAAGAGAAGAGGTCAGAGAGGAAATAGATATGACCCGCCTCCACTGCCTCCTACAGAAACTTCCTATGACTGCAGGGCACCCATCTCCACATTCCCCGGTTTAACACACCCTGCACGTGGGAAAGGCTCCCCGGAGCGAGTCACGGGACTGGGGCATGGAGGACGCAGTGACCCTGACATCCAGTGAGGAGGGGAAGCACGCTCGCCAAGGAGTAAGAGTCAATCACACTGTCCTTTTGACAGTGAGAATGAGAACTGGAAGACGCTGGAGTGTTAACTTCAAACTACTTCCCACCCGGAATGCCATGCTCAGCCCACTGTCCTGTCAGACGGTCAATCCCAGCACGGCCCTGGGCTCGCACTCGGAACAGGTGGCGAGGGGAGCCTGGCCTCGGTGAAGGACCGCCTCTCCAGTGAGAGAACTCCCAGGAGCACAGCACCCTGACCGGGCAGTGTGGCCCAACAGCGGTGGGGAATACTGGTGAGCTGAGCTGAACAAAACGTAAAATGAGAACTGTTTTGTCCTGGGTGGTGTGGCTCAGTGGATAAGGCGTTGGCCTTCCGACGGAAGGATCCCAGGTTCGATTCCAGTCAAGGGCACATGCCTGGGTTGTGGGCTCAATCCCGTGTGGAAGCATGCAGGAGGCAGCCAATCAATAATTCTCTTTCATCATTGATGTTTCTCTCTCTCTCTCTCACCACCCCCTTCCTCTCTGAAATCAATAAAAATATGTGTATTTTTTAAACTGTAGTTTAGCCTCCCGTTCAGCATGGCACAATGACCGGAACAGACGGATGAAGATTCTTGAAGGGATTTCACCAATGTTGTGAGTCACTGAGGGAAGAGAGTTGAGAGAAGGCAATCACCTCTACCATGAGTGGACGCCAGAAGATAACCCTGAAGTGGCGACGGAGAAGTAGAAATAAATCGATACCGGGCAACTAGTGGGTGGTGTGCACACGGAGCACAGGCCAGACCGCCGAGCGCCGCCTTTCCGAAGCGGACAGGAGGCGCCTTAGACACATCGAGTTTTTAAACGACCTGCATGTTTCTCTAAGAAACAAAACATCAGGTTCCAGAAACAGGGCAGCCCCCGGCCAGAGAGCCACCGGCCCCGCCTGGGGCGGCCTCCGGCCGAAGGCGCCGTTCGCAGGGTCATAGGTTTGGGAAACGCTGCCTGAAGGCAAGGGTGTCACCCTGAGCGCAGGGCTGGGAGGTCCTCGCACAGGAAACCCCCCGAGCCCGCTTACTCATCCGCAGAGTGGAGGTGGGACACTGTCCAGGGCCTCAGTTCTTTTTAGACTGGAAACCAGGGGGGCCTGAACACTTTTAGGGAGCAGGGGCTCTGACGGAGCTGCCTGCACCCATCTCCTCTGCCACAGGCTCCGGAACCCTGGGCCTCGCCGGGCCTGCGTCCTTGGGTGTCCATGGCAGACAGCACCCACCCCCTGCGAACACCGCCAGGCTTCCACGAGGGCGCCCTCGCAGAGCGGGCACTGGGGCAGCACTGACGGGGGGAGGGGGGGGGGCGTTCAGTGCCCACAGCTCACTCTCCTCTCACTCTCCGCTGCTCAGCAAGCCGTCCAGCCCGGGCTGCTGTGGAGTCAGAGGCGTCCGGTGTTCGTGAAAAGCCTACTATGTGCCAGGCACTGGACAAGTGCTAGTCCTAGGACCGGCACATCCTGGTCTTCCAGTCTGGCTCCCCTCACCTGTTGATCAGGAAAACGGCCGACGGGGACACAGCGGGCTCAGTGAGCGGTCTCACCGGACGTGGCAGGGCTCGGGCACGCTCCCGGAGTAACGCGGTGTCCACTCCCTGGGTTCCCAGCTGGCCCGGCCCCAGGCCGCGTCCCGCCCATCAGGGGTGCCTGGAGGGACTGGCGGCCAGGACGCCGGCGGGTCCTCACTGTGCGAACCCGCCCTCGGAGCCCGCACGCGCCACTCCCCCCCGCACTGGCGGGTCGGCGCCTTTCGCTCCGCGGGAAGGGGGTCCGCCGGGAGTGGGACCCCCGCGCCGCCACCGCGGCCCCGGCCACGGGGAGGCCGGGACATTGACAAAAGGAGGGAAGTTTCTCCGTCCGGAGCCGCCCGAGGCGCGCGCCCCGGGCTGACAGCCGCGGGCGGGCGGCTCGGTGCGGAGGCGCGCGGCCGCCAACTTTTCCTGAAAGACCGGCCGCCCTATCGGAGCGGAGCGGAAGGTCAGCGGGGCGGGCGGGGCGCCGGGACGCCCGGCTCGCCCGGCCGCCCGCGAAGTTGGCCGGCGCGCCCCACTTTCCTTTTTGTCTTCGCGGCTCCGCGGCTCCGCCGGGCCGGCGGCCGGGCGGGGGCGGGGGCGCGGGCGGCGGCCGGGCCTCCCCGCTCCGCGCCGCGCCCGCCCCGCCGCGCCGCCTCCGCCTCCGCCCGCGCCCGCACAAAGCGCGCCCGGCGCCGCGCGGCCCGCACGCCCGGGGCCTCGGCCCGGCCTCGGCCTGAGGCGCGGCGGCGGCGAGGAGGCGCGGGCCCGTCTCCGGCGCGGCGCCCCCGCCCGCCCGCGCGGCGTCCCCGCTCGGCGCCCCCCGATCCCGCCGCCCCGCGCCGCCCGCCCGCGCCCGCGCCCGCGCCCGCGCCCGCCGCCGGCCCGTCGGCCCCGCTCCTCACCTCGGCATCGGCGGCGGCCATGGCCCGGGCCCGCAGCGTGGCCCCGCCCCTCCCGCGCGCCATCGCCCCGCCCGCGCCTCGCGGCCCAGGGCGGGGCGGGCGGACAGCGAGTCTGCGCCTGCGCCCGTGCCCGCGCCTGCGCACTGCGGCCGGACGGCGGCGTCCGCGGCGGGGCCTGCGTCGCCGGAAGCGGGGCGCGCGGGCCGCCGGGGGCGGGGCCCGGTGGGAAGGCCGGCGGAGGGCGGCCTTTCCCCAAACACCAGCTCCCCCCATTAGGCTTCCGGCGGGCGGGCGGGACAGGTGGGGTGGGGGGGGGAGAAGGACCTCTGACCTCTAACCTCCGCGGGCCTTCTCTGGGGCGGGCCCTGCCCTGCGGCCCTGGGCGGGGCCCTGGGCGGGGGTGCGCCAGGTTGGGAAGGGGTGCCCGTCGGGGCTGTGCGGGTTAGGGGGAGCCCCAGCTGGGGAAGGTGTCGGGGCTGCGGAGGCCGCCGAGGCGGGGAAGGGGACTGGTCCCCTGGGGAAAATGGCTCCAACTCGGTGGACGCCCCAAGGGGAACGCTGTCCGAGGGCAGAGGGGCTGCGTTAGCGAAGGGGCCGCGATGAGGGGCGGTGCCCCGCTCCGGGGTGCCCCAGCCGGTGGCACGTCGGACTGAGAAGGAGGGTGCCTTGTTGGGGAAGGTGTTCCACGACCCCTTGGGGAGGGTTACCCACGTTTGGGGGTGTTCTGGTTAAGGGAGATGCCTGACATGGGGGTGCCCCCGCCGCGCAGCGTCCCTGATCACCCCAAACCCCATGCTCAGTTGTGCGCAGGGACTTCTGTGGAAGCACTGGCTTAGGCCTCCCGTTCCCCAGTCCAGACCAGTTCCTCCCACCCCTGGGAGTGGAGGAGAGAAGCGTGGACTGCAGTAGAGGTTCTCTGGCCAGTCTTCAAAACAAGAACTGAAGAGGCCGAGTTGAAGGTGAACCGGCCCCTCGACCCCATGAAGGCTCGGTCTCCCGGGAGAAAGACGCAGGGAGATGCCTTTAGTCCATCGTTGACGGTGCACACAGGTGCAGAGGAGGAAATGGATGCTTCTACCCCCCAAGGAAACCTTCCAGCGGTTTCTTTCTGGCAGCCTGGCAGCTCGTGACAGGCTGGGGACCCCCAAGCCCGCTCTGGAGCCCCAGAAAGGAGGCTCAGAAATTACCCACCATGGTTCATGCCCCTAGCCTGGCCCGCCTTCAGCCACATCTGCCTCCGGGGCTGTCCTCTCCATCCCCACTCCTGCCTTGGGCCCTCCTGTCCCTTCCCAGAAACCCTTTCAGGTCAGGGACCTGAGTAGCTCACTTCTCTACCATCCTTCAATACCACCTCGCCACTAAAAAAAAAAATGATACTGCACCCCAGGACTTCCTTGCTTCATAACGATATTGTCTATTTTTTCTCACTATAATGTAAGTCCAAAAGGCCAAAGGTTTTTGTCATGTGTCCTGGTGTTTAGAACTACACTTGGCATGTAGGATTCAAAGTGAACATCAGTGGTTGAGTGTCGACCTATGAACCTGGAGGTCACAGGTTGATTCCCAGTCAGGACATATTGCCTGGGTCTCGGGCTTGATCCCCAGTGTGGGGGGTGCAGGAGGCAGCTGACCCATGATTCTCTCTCATTGATGTTTCTATCTCTCCCTCTCTGAAATCAATAAGTATATTTTTACATGAACATTAGTTCAATGAATGATATGAAAAACCCTTTGCCAGGCAAATACCAAAACAAGTGAAATGTTTTGGGCCATGAGGGCAGCCTGCCCCTATCCTCGGGATCACTGGTAACAACATGCCAGAGGCTGCCCTCTGCATGTGACAGGTTAACGCTAACCATCAGGCCCGTCCTCAGAGACAGATCGTTGTTCTTATCCACATTCTGTGAATGTGCAAACCAAAGCCAGGAGTTGTGTTCAAGGCCACGCAACTGACTAGGGGCAGAGATGCGATTTGAACCCGTGTGGACTTTACTTTCGACTGAGGCTGCAGCTTCTAGCAGATGGGTCAGCAAACTCATCAGTCCACAGAGCCAAATATCAATAGTACAAGGTCTGAAATTTCTCTGGAGAGCCACATTTTTTAAACTGAAACTTCTTCTAACACCACTTCTTCAACAAAGAGTCACCCAGGCTGTGGTATTTTGTGGAAGAGCCACACTCAAGGGGCCAAAGAGCCGCATGTGGCTCTCGAGTCGTAGTTTCCCGACCACGGTGTTAGGTTATCCTGTTGGGGGTCAACTTTGTGCTTTTCTCCAGTTTTCATCCTCTTTTCATCCTACACATAATACAATGTGGCCTGGCGCATGGCTTCCCGAGAAAGAACACATTTCCAACCACAAAGGGTGGCCAGTGGGATGTGGCGAAATGGATCATCTACCAGCCTGTCCCCCAAAAGTAGGCCCAGAAAGCTGTGTGAGGGTAAAAACCGTAACAGCTGCCCTGGGTCCAGGGGTGGGAGCCTGGACCAGAGAATGCCAGCTACATCACGAGGCCCAAGCCCTTCCCTTCTGGACTGTTAGATGTTCAAGAAATAATCTGGTCCCGCTGGGGGAATGGGGGCCCCACCTGTCCCTTCATAGGCCCATGCGTTTGTCATAAGTTAAGGAAACGACCCTCGGCCAAGGTCACCCTCCACCCAATGGCAGAGCCAGACTTTGAACCCAAAGTCTTAACCCCACCTCCCGTTTTCCCAAACTTTGTTCCAGGGCTGCTGGCCAGGTAGGGCTTGCAAAGTCCTCAGGATGCCCCTTTGATGAACATCTTTCCGCAAAACCCTGACGCTGTCTGCTAGTGCGTTCCTGAGTCCCAGGTCAGGAGCAGGCCCGGGTGCTCCTACTGGGACGGGAGGCAGGAAGCGGACTGTGGGACGTGGCAGTGGTGCCAGCAGCAACGTGACCCTGGAGGCCAAGGCTCAGGGCCAACCCTCCCCTCCACCACGCCGGAACTGCCTGCGGCGCAGCTCTAACTGCGCTCCTGGAAGGGTGGGTGCCGGCCGGGCGGCCCAGGGGTGCGCGCACAGGCCGGAACAGCGGGCTCCGAACCGAAGCCTGGGCTCCAGCCCAGAAACCGGGCTCCGGGGTCCGGGGAACGCGCCCGGGAGGGCGGACCCAGGAGGAGGGGCGCGTCCAGGAGGAGGGGCGCGTCCAGGAAGGGCGGGGCCAGAGGGGCAGGTGCCCGGAAGGGGCGGGTCCAGAAAGGCTGTTGCCCTGGGGGCGGGGCTTGGTGTGGGCGGGCCTCGCCTGGGAGGGAGGAGGGTGGCCGTGGAGGGCCCCCAGGCTGGGCCGGCGCATGTCCCGCCGCAGGAGGGCGCCCGAGAGGCCGCGCCCCGCACTACAAATGGAATGCTTTATTTACAGGTGGGGTCCAGCCCTGCCGGCCCGGCCTGGCCCGTGGCCTGGGAGAGGCCACCTGCGGGGGGCCAGCCAGGCGCATCGAGTCCTGAGACAGCCGGTCAGGCCGGGAGCAAAGGCACGAAGCCCTGGGCGCCGGTCCCATGGCAAAGGTTGGCCAGCCGGGAGAAGGCGGCGAGGGGTCAGCTCCCCGGGGTCAGCTCCCGGGGGTCGGGCCGGCGCCCGCACTGCCGCAGCTCTGCTCATAGGACGGCGGGGCCTCTGCGGAGAGAGGGAAGTCAGTGTGGGGCCCGTGGCACCTCCGTACCCCGGCCCCTGGCCCTCACTCACCACAGGGGGGAGCCCACAGGCTGTACTCCGGGGGGAGGATCCAGGTGCTGGTGGAGGGCACCGGCCCACCAGACCCGTCTGCGAAGTAGGGCACAGTGGCACCCGCGGAGACGCACAGGGCCGGGGGCAGCGGGTGGGAGGCAGGGCCGCTGCCCGGAGGGCAGGGTTCAGGGGCGCCGGGCACCGCACCAAAGACGGAAGGTGGCCACAGCTGCATGTGGCTCTTGGCAAAGAGGGAGACAGGGTCGGCCACGGGGGGTGGGCCCGTGGCCCCGGCCTCTGCCTCCTCCTGGGGCGGGGCAGAGGGCACCACCGAGCACTGAGCCCCAGGAGGCGGCCCAGGGCCCGGCTGGGGACTTGTTGGGGCCGGGTTCACAGCGATGTTGCCAATGAAGACCGGGAGCACCACAGAGGCTTCGGGCGCCTTCAGGGAGACCTGCGAGGGCGGAGGGGCGGGTGGTGAGGGTCCGGACCACCAGGCTCCCTCCCCCCTCCCCTCTCCCGGCCCCCGCCGCCCCCCAACCCCAGCACCTGCAGGTAGTAGTCGATGTGAATGAGGCTGCAGCCCGGCAGGGCCGACTGGGGCAGGGGGGGCACCAGGATCTGCTCTTGCCACTGGGTCCGCCGCCAGGCCTTGACGCCGGCGCCCTCCACGTCGGCGATGGCCCGCACGTCGTAGATCCAGCGCTTGGCCTTATAGGACACTTTCTAGGGAAGGGCCAGCCCGTGAGCCCCGGCGGAAAGCAGCCGGCCCCTCCCCCCTCCCGCGGGGACCTGACCTGCAGCAGGCTGGCCGCCACCGGGCCGGTGTCCTTGCCCGACTGGTTGTCGATGTCAGCCTGCAGCCGCAGCACCTGCCCCGCCAGGTAGCCGCGGAGGTCGGTGCTGGCCGTGAGCACCACGCTGCCGGTCCGCACCAGCTTGTAGGAGAACTTCTTGGTGGTGGAGGCCACGTTGGGTTGCTGGGGGGAGGGGGAGGGGGGAGGCAGTTGGTGGGCCCTGGCCCAGCCCGCTCGGCCCGCCGGCCCCGGACCCTGGGCACAGCACGGTCAGGTCAGGACGGGGAGGTCTCCCTCCGCCGGGGACAGGGCGTGGCCACCTGCCCCCCTCACCTCGATGTCCGGGATGCTGTTCAGGTTCAGGGGGCTCAGCACGTAGAACGCGCAGCTGCACTGGTGGTCCTTGGAGAAGCGCGGCGTGTCGATGGTGGCCCGCACCTGGTACGCGATCTTCCCAAAGGGGCCCTCAAAAGACGTGGGCGCCGTGACTGCAAAGAGAGCGCGGACTGGCACCCAGCCGGCCCCCCACCTCCCCTCCCCCGCCAGCCGGCCCCCCACACCCCCTCCCCGCCAGCCGGCCCCCCCACACCCCCTCCCCCGCCAGCCGGCCCCCCACACCCCCTCCCCCGCCAGCCGGCCCCCCACACCCCCTCCCCCGCCAGCCGGCCCCCCACACCCCCTCCCCCGCCAGCCGGCCCCCCCACACCCCCTCCCCCGCCAGCCGGCCCCCCACACCCCCTCCCCCGCCAGCCGGCCCCCCCACCCCCCCCCCCCCGCCAGCCGGCCCCCCACCCCCCCGCCCCCGCCAGCCGGCCCCCCACACCCCCTCCCCCGCCAGCCGTCACCGCCAGGCCCGGCCCAGGGGCTGGGCGCTCGCTCACCAGGAAGCAGAAACTGGAAGGGGAAGCTGTGCTCTCCTGTAGGCAGGCTCCCTGCGGAGACAGCAGGGAGGTGTGGGGGGGCCAGGGCACCTCCGGAGCCTGAGGGGACACCACAGGGCCCAGGAGAGGAGCAGGCGCCACAGCCAAGTGGCTGCTGGGACATCCAGCCAGTGCCCAGCGCCCAGGGGCAAGGCCTGGGCAAACGAGAGCTTGGCTTAAACCAGTGGTCGGCAGACTCACCAGTCCACAGAGCCAAATGTCAACAGGACAACAACTGACATTTCTTTGGAGAGCCACATTTTCTAAACTGAAACTTCTCCTAACACCACTTCTTCAACACAGACTCGCCCAGGCCGTGGTATTTTGTGGAAGAGCCACACTCAAGGGGCCAAAGAGCTGCATGTGGCTCGCGAGCCGAGGTTTGCCCACCACGGGCTTAAACGACAGGGGGCCGGGCGGGGGTTCCCGGAGGCAGATGGGAAGGGGGAGGACAGACAGGCTGCCGGGCGGACGCACCTTTGTCCGCCAGCGACAGGGTGCTGTTGACGTAGCCCTCCTCGGCCACGCAGGCGGTGTCGTTGGCCTTGGCGGAGACCCTGCAGGAGCCCGTGCAACTCACCCGAATCGCTGAAAGAGGGGGGACAGGTGTGAGCCCCAGACGCTGCCAGCCCAGCCCTCCCTGCCCCAGCTCAGGCATTCCCTCAGGGCTGGCAGCCCCCACACACACACTGGGGCCTGAGAAGGCCAGCAAGGGTTTGCTGCCTTTTAGAAGACAGCTCCTGCCCATCCCCCAGCCCCGTGCTCACAGGGAGGCGCCCAGAGGGCACGCCGGGGCCCGCCAGACCGGTGAAAACCCGGCTCCCAGAGCGGGTGCTTGGGGAATGAGGAACAGAGGCCCACGGGGCTGCTGACCATGACGGGCCTTCACCTCCCGGGCAAGTCAGTTAGACTGGGAGGCACCTGTACCTCCCCTGCAGGAATGTGGTCAGACCCGCCTGAGCAGAAAAGGCGCACAATGGCGGGAGGGGTCAGCCTGGACTTCCTGGGCCAGCGCTGCCCAGCAGGCTGATTTTTGCATCCAGAGAGGCCCGTCCTCTCCCCTGCTCCCCAGCTTAGTGTCCGGGCCAGGGACCCTCGGCAGCCTCTGTTCTGTGGTCAGGAGCTGGGACGCCTCAGTCCAACAGCTCTGCTCCGAGCCCCAGAGGGACCGACCACCAGCCCGGGAGGCGGGGCACCGCAGGTGGAGGGGCAGGAGCTGAGCGGCAGGTGGCCCTGCGGCCCCACCCTCCTCTCATGCAGGCCTGAGTCAAGGCCAGAGACCGCGGATCTCCGCCCAGTCCCACTCCTTCCCTGACTCAGTGTCAGGTGAGGGGAAGGTGACGCAGACCTGACACCTGACTGACGGAGCCACCACGGAGGAAGCGCCAGGGGGCCCAGGCCCGGGCCAGAGAACAGCCTGGCCAGCCATGGCCACGGAGCCCCGGGCTGGCCCACCTGCTGACAGACTTCCCGTGCCACCCTCCACACATGCTTCCTACAGGCCCTGGCTCTCCTCCGCCCCCGTCGGCACTGCCTTTGGCCTCTGTGCCGTCCATCCCATCTCCCCTCGGGGGCCTCAGCCTCTCTCTAACCCTCGCTCCTCCGTCAGCCGAGCCCCCTGGGTCCAGGCCTGGAAGTGTCCTCACCCTGAAATCCTGGCAGCAGGGCTCTGACCGCCCCTCATGGCCCAGGGGCAGCCAGGCGGGCGGGAGCAGGCAGGGCGGGCAGGGTGGAGGGCCGGCGAAAGTGCCCAGCTTTAACCCTCCCGTGGACGGGCACAGCCCCACTTGATCCCGCTGCCCTGGGGATGCTGGGGCCCACAGAGTGTGCCAGAGGGATGCAGTGGTTCCCGGACAGGCCCGGTGCCCGCCAGGCACTGCCAGGTGACCCCAGTGGACGCCGGGCACTGCCAGGTGACCCCAGTCGACGGCGCACGGAGCTGAAGAATGATCTGCCCACCTGTGCCCAAATTCCTACCGCCACCGGGAGCTAACTCCACTCAGCTCAGGGACGCGCTGTTACTCTGGGTTTACATAGTAGCAGATGAGGCACAGGTTCCACTCATTTGTAACCTTCTGATTGGCAACTATTCGATCCTGTGTTGTGCTGAGGGGGAACAGTCATGCGCTGGGAGTAACCAAACGTAGGCGCCAGGGGCCTGGAGAAGCGCCAGGCAGGGTGGACAGGGACCAGGGCCCCAGCAGCTCTCAGAACCTCACGCCATCCATCCGCCCAGGAGCCCCGAGCACCACCCCGACCCTCGTAAGGCCGGCCATCGGGGACCAGCCCACGGGCCCGGTGGGTGGCTGAGACTCCCCCACCCCAGCTTGGCCTGCCCCCCAGCGTTCATGTAAAGAGCAGTGGGAGCACCTGACCCGGAAAAAGAACCGGTATCAAAGTGAACACTGGTTACCCCGAGGGCCCAAGCACGGTGGCTGTCCCAATGCCCAGCAAAGAGCCCTCTGCACCCACAGAGGCCCCGTGGGGGCCCCCGACTGAGTGAGCCGCGTCCAATCGCTGTCTCTGAGGAAACCGCCACACCGACGGGCAGGTGCGCTCACAGCACTAAGCAGGCTGCGCCCCGGGCTGCGCCATCCGGGTCAGACCACTCCGTTTCCCAGCACTGGGCTGGCGGGTACCCTGTTTGGATGTTTGGGGCTGCTCCAGTTCTCCAAGGAAAGTCATCTCGTGGCCCCACTGGGATGGCTCAGTGGTTGAGCATCAACCCATGAACCTGGAAGTCAGGGTTCAATTCCTGCTCAAGGGCACAGGCCCTTTTGCCGTCTCGATCCCCAGTGAGGAACGTGCAGGAGGCAGCCGATCAATGGTTCTATCAACACTGATGTTTCTATCTCTCCCCTCCTCTCTGAAATCAACCCTATATAATAAAAGGCTACTTTGCAAATCGACCAAACAGAACAACCAGTTGCTATGACATGCACTGACCACCAGGGGGGCAGACACTCAATACAAGAGCTGCCCCCTGGTGGTCAGTGCACTCCCGCAAGGAGAGCGCTCTTCAGTCAGAAGCCAAGCTCAAGGCTGGTGAGACTCCTGCCTTGGCGGCTGTACTAAGCATGTTCCACTGAAGGCTTTACCTCCCCCCATCCCAGGGCTCCTGGACTGCAAGAGGGTGCAGACCTGGCTGAGGGACACCACCCCTGAGTGCACCAATTTCACTAGTAAAAATACATTAGCCCAGCCGGTTTGGCTCAGTGGATAGAGCGTCAGCCTGTGAACTGAAAGGTCCCAGGTTCAATTCCGACCAAGGGCACAGGCCCAGGTTGTGGGCTCATCCCCAGTGGGGGATTTGCAGGAGGCAGCCGATCCCTGATTCTCATCACTGATGTTTCTATCTCTCTCTCCCTCTTCCTTCCTCGCTGAAATGAATAAAAATATATTTTTAAAAAATTTTTTAAAGAAAATCTTATTTTCTTTCCCTACGTCAGCCCTTCTCTCTGTCCTGGTTCCAAATCCGTCCCACGAGGAAGAGAGCGCCCACCGCCCAGGCTGCCGTGAGGCGGGCCACTGGAAGTGGGGAGGGTGATGCCGGCCGTGACAGGAGCTCAGGGGGGGGGGGGGGCTGGCTGCTGTCCTTCCCCATGTCCTCCCAGGATGGAGGTCTCCCCACTGATCAGTGGCTGGCAGCAAGGGTTCAACAAGTATCTTTTCAATAAAAGACGGAAAAGAGCCGATCTGTCCTTTCCCCCCACCCAGGCCGGCCGGGAGAAAGCCCAGCACAGCTCAGCGCCCACACGCCCTCTGCTCCCAGGGTCACCTGACCAAACCCCCTGCTCCCCCGCCCACCCTCCACCTTCCCCTCTCCCGTGGGTGGGACCACCAGCGGGGCTCCCTCGGCCTTCTGTGGCAGCTATCTGCTCACCCACAGCCCACCGGCCACACGAAGGCCAGGGGGCTCTGTCCAGGCCAGACCAGCCCCCCACAGCTCGGGCCGTCCCTCCACTGTGGTCGCCACAGCCTGCTCTCTCAGGAGGCTGACAGGTGGGCAAGCCAGGTGATGAGCTTGGCGCGGGGCTCGGCTGCCCCAGCTGCGAGGCTGTGCCTCCTTCCGGGACCCAGCACAGCACTCTCTCGTCCGCTAGAAAGCCGGCCCCATCGCACTTCCCACCTCTCGCTTGTGCCCCAGGAAGGACCGCGTGGCCCCTGCTGTGCCCCTGCCACACCCACTCCCACCCAAACCCCAAACTCCAACTGGGGAGACGAGATAGGAGGTGACAGTCTCATGGGAGGAGACTCCACAGGCCGAACCCTGAGCGAGAGGTGAGCAGGCTACTTACACCAGCCTCTTCTCAGACCCCGTGGCCGCCCACTGTGGGGTGAGGGGCAGGTGAGGCCTGTCCGGGACGGGGCAGTGGCTGCCCAGGGGGCTCTCGGTCCTCAGTGGGGACCAGAAGTGCTGAGCTGTCAACCACACAGGAGTCTGGAGGGCCACGGTCCAGGAGGAAGCCGGGTGACTGTGGTCTTGGCTGAGCACCCTGAGGTGGAGGAGCACCCCGAGGTGGAGGAGCACGCCAGCAGGGACACGACGCACAACCTTGTGTTCAGAGTCAGGGATCCCCCACCCCACCCTGAGGGTCGAGCCCCGAGGACCCACCCGGGCCCTGAGGGACACCTCGGACAGGAGAGGCGGGCACCTGGGGAGGGTGCTAGGGAGGGCAGTTGCGGCAATCTGATACCCAGTCCAAAGCCCCAGCAGGGGGGACAGGCCAGGAGGGTTCAGGTTCACCTCCCAGATGCCAGCGGGGCCAGGGGCCTGGGGCACCCAGGGTTGAGCAAGACACCCCTGTGCACAAGAACAAGTTTAGACTGGACGTAAGCAGGTGCCCAGGTGGGCCGTGGGTCCATCTGGGAACCGCAGACTCGGCAGTGGGACTGTCTGTGCCAGGAGCCCAGTCCCCAAGTGGGGGCCCAGCAGGTGCAGGACACAGCGGACCCGCAGACCCGGCAGCGAGGGGCGGAGCTTGTCTGTGTCCAGGTCACAGTGGGCTCTGCCAAGACGGACAGGCGCTAAGCCTTCACCGGGCGGAGAGGACAGGAAGGGCAGAAACGGAAGCCTGGGCCACCCGGGCCTCCCTGCTCTGCCCCGAACGCCGCCGGCCTCCCACCCAACACTCCCAGCAGCCGGGGCGCCGGAGTGGCGCCCACACGGGCCTCGGACTGTGCTAGGGGAGAAGGGGATGTCCCAGACCCAGCGACATCGGCGGCGCTTCCGGGAGCCCCGGCCCGGCCCCAGGAGCGGGCGCAGCCACCTGAACCCACTCCGCCCGGCCCGCCCGAGGCGACCCGCGCCCACCTCGGAAGGGCAGAGGCGCCCCCAGGCACACGTGCACGGCCCCCGCCAGCGGCTCCCCGGGGCTGTAGACGAGGCGGCCTTGGCTCAGGCGGATCTCGAAGAGCTGCACCCGCCCCATGCCGCCCGCGGGCCCGACCGGACGGCCGCTCGCTGCTGCCCCCGCCCGCCTGCTGGCCGGCTCTGCTCTGAGCGCCGCACCGGTGCGACTCGCCCTGGACCCCGCCCCGGACCCCGCCCCACCGGCCCTTCCTCCAATCGGGACATGCTGAAAGCCAGACCACGCCCCTCATGCAGATGTGATCACGCCCATGTCCCCGCCCCCATTATGGGGCCACGCCCTCTACCACGCCTTACGCTCGCGAGCCCGTCCCCGACTCAGCCACGCCCCCACCTTCCAGGTCCGCCCAGGCCACGCCCTCCCCGGGCCCGCCCCCAGGCGGTCACGCCCCCGTCCGCTGGGGTTTTCCTGGCCGGTCCCCTGGTCTCCTCGGTCCCCACGCGCGCCGGTCAGCCCGCGGCCCCGCCTCCGGCCCGCAGGGTGGAGGTCCGGCCGGGTCCCGGGGTCCGGCGCCCGGGCACTCCCGCTGCCCCGGGAGAGTGGCCGGCTCACCTCCCGAGGAGGCGGGGCCGCGGCCGGGCTGGGGCTGGGGATGGGCCGGAGGAGACGGGGCCGGGTCGGGGTGGGGGTGGGCGGGAGGAGACGGGGCCGGGTCGGGGTGGCGATGGACCGGAGCTCTGCGGAAGGACGTCCGGAGGGCTGCGGGCGGGTGTGCGGGCGCTGGGAGCTCGCGGCGGTCCCGGGGCTCAGGGTGGAGTGGACAGGTGGGTGCGGGGCTGGAGTGGAGGTGGCGCGGGGCTGAGGGTGGGGCGGGATATGCGTGGCTCCGGGGCGCGGAGGGGCGTTCTCTGATGTGTGGTCTCCGAAAGGCGAGGCGGGTGGAGAGTGAGGTGGGGGCCGGGGCGGGTGGAGAGTGAGGTGGGGGGCAGAATGAAGGGGGGGAGAGTGAGGTGGGGGACGGGGCGGGTGGAGAGTGAGGTGGGGGGCAGAATGAAGGGGGGGAGAGTGAGGTGGGGGCCGGGGCAGGGGGGAGAGTGAGGTGGGGGCCGGGGTGGGTGGAGAGTGAGGTGGGGGACGGGGCGGGTGGAGAGTGAGGTGGGGGCCGGGGCAGGGGGGAGAGTGAGGTGGGGGCCGGGGTGGGTGGAGAGTGAGGTGGGGGGCAGAATGAAGGGGGGGAGAGTGAGGTGGGGAGCCGGGCGGGGGGAGGGTGAGGTGGGGGCCGGGGCAGGGGGGAGAGTGAGGTGGGGGCCGGGGCGAAGTGGGAGACCGAGAGCCCGGGAGAGACGGCCGTGCCCGCTCAGCTCAGAGCTCGGAGCGCGGCCAGGGGCGCCCCGCTACTTAAACACGGGGCCTGTCGGAGGCGTCGGGTCAGCGGGGGGAACGGGTGGCGTTCTCTAGCGGAGAAAGCTGGCCTCGGTACACGCTGTTCGGGGCGTGGGAGAAAGTCACGGCCCGCAGGTCTGAGATGCCCGCCGGGCGCTCGCATGAGTTTGGGGAGACGGAGGATTGGAGATCCGTTACGCGCCCTTGTGTGGACGGAACTCGGGGCGCTGATGACGTTGAAGTTTGGGGTGAAACCACAGAGACCTAACCTGGCCCTCAGCTAATGGAGCGGGACTTCCTGCCCGCAGGGTCTGCGGGGCCACGGGAGGAAGGGCGGGGCCGGGGAGCCCGGGAGAGCCGGGGTCAGGCAGGCGGCGCCGGACCCCAACCTGGCTCCCGGGAGCCTGATGCGCCACAGAGGGAGGGGCTGACTGTGCAAATGAGGGGACTCCTGAGCCAGGGCGGACTGCCCAGGAGAAGGAGGGGATTGTGGGCATCCCATAATGCCACAAGTCCCTACTGAAGTCAAGAAGGAAGAAGAGAGGTGTGCTGACGTCTTTCTCTCAACGTCCCTTAAAAAAAAAATATATATATATATATTAAAATTAAAAATAAATATATATATATTATTGATTTTTTACAGAGAGGAAGAGAGAGGGATAGAGAGTTAGAAACAACGATGAGAGTCACTGATCAGCTGCCTCTTGCACACCCCCTACTGGTACATGCCCTTGACCGGAATCGAACCCGGGACCTTTCAGTCCGCAGGCCAATACTCTATCCACTGAGCCAAACCGGTTTTGGCTCAACGTCCCTTTTTTCAAAATATAAATATTTAATTGGTTTCTTACAGAGAGGAAGGGAGAGAGATAGAATCATCAATTAGAAATGTCAATCAGCTGCTCCTGCACACCCCCCACCAGGGATGTGCCTGCAACCCAGGTGCATGCCCTTGACCAGAATTGAACCTGGGACCTTTCAGTCCGCAGGCTGACGCTCTATCCACTGAGCCACACCAGTTTCGGCTCAGCGTCACTCTCCTCTTCCTCTCCTGGTGCCAGGCTTCCTGGGTGTCTACTCCTGTGCCTGTGGGTGCCCTCCTGAGCCCTGTGGCCATGTCCAGACCATTTCCCTGTCACCTTCAAAGCTTTGCCCGGCTGATAGGGCTCCGGCTTGAGAATGGACCTATGAGCCAGGAGATCACGATTCAGTTCCCTATCAGGGCACATGCCAGGTTGTGGGCTCCATCCCCACTGTGGAGCATGCAGGAGGCAGCCGATCCATGACTCTCCTCACTGCTATCTCTCCCTCTCCCTCTCCCTCTCCCTCTCTGAAATCAAAGTGTACCCAAGTAAAGTGTACCCAGGACTCATTCTAATTGCGTGAGGTGACAGATAGACAACTGCTCGCTCTCAAGAGTTTTGTGCCTACCCCAGAGTAGGGGTTAGCCCCCTGGGAGATGCCAGGGTTGCCTGGCCCCAAGCCTGTGGGTTTTCTTTCTTTTCTTTTTAAATATATTTTACTGATTTTCTACAGAGAGGAATGGAGAGGGATAGAGTTAGAAACATGGGTGACAGAGAAACATTAACCAGCTGCCTCCTACACAACCCCCACTGGGGATGTACCCACAACCAAGATACATGCCCTTGACTGGAATTGAACCTGGGACCCTTCAGTCCGCAGGCCGACGTTCTATCCACTGAGCCAAACCGGTTTTGGTGCCCGTGGGTTTCCTGTGGGAATGGGTGGGGCAGGGGAGGCTGTGAGTAATCTCCATGGGCTCCGGTCCCTGGGGGTGGTCTCCGGTGTCCAGTTCCTGGCCCCGTGGGGACGGAGGCAGAGGAATCCGGGCGTGGGGAGTGAGGGAGATAAAGGAGGTGGGGGCTCTGGATTGGCCGGTTTGCACGTGACAGTGTAGTCCCAGAAGTTGCTTGCTGTCTCCAGGAATTAGCTCTGGGGGCAGGCTCTCCCAAAGTCGCAGGGCCCCCAGGTGTCAAAGCACAGGTCAGACCATAACTCTGTCCATCCATCTCCTCCCCACAGCTCTGCCAGAACTCCAGCCGCTCCCTCCCTTGGCTTGGTTCCTTCGTCTCAGAGATGCCTGCCAGCCCCTCTCCTTCCCTTTTCCAGGCGCGCTGTTTCTCCCATCAGAAGGTGGGCTTATCCCTCCCATGGACCCTGGGCTGGCCCGGCTGGCTGTGATGGTGATGCTGTTAGAAGCGATGCCACACCAGCTGAGGGGCTCACGAGGGCGTGGGTGTGGGAGCTGCCACTCGACAATGCCTGCTTACTGCTGGGGAGACCTCAGAGGGAGAGGGGGAGAGAGAGGGGGAGGGAAAGGGGGAGAGAGGGATAGGGGAAGAGAGGGAGAGAGAGAGAAGGAGGGAGAGGGGGAGAGAGGGAGAGGGGAAGAGAGGGAGAGAGAGAGAAGGAGGGAGAGGGGGAGAGAGGGAGAGGGGAAGAGAGGGAGAGAGAGAGAAGGAGGGAGAGGGGGAGAGAGGGAGAGGGGAAGAGAGGGAGAGAGAGAGAAGGAGGGAGAGGGGGAGAGAGGGAGAGAGAGATTGCCTGGACACCTGTGTGCCCCTGGCTCAGACTTCTTGCCTCACTCACACCCAGGGACTGGCTGAGAGGCCCTGGCTGTGTCCGCTAGCTACTGCTGCAGAACAAACTGCCCCACTTGCTTAGTTATTGTGACAATGAGGCTGCCCTCAGCCAGAGGCTCTTCTGCTCCGTGCGGTATCTGCTGAGAATGGGACATCCAAGACATCTTTTTTCTTTTCTTTTTTAAAAATATATTTATTATTGATTTCAGAAAGGGAGAGGGAGATAGAAACATCAGTGATGAAAGAGAACCAATGATCATCTGCCTTCTGCACGCCCCCCACCCCCCACTGGGGATAGAGCCCGCAACCCGATCATGTGCCGTTGACCGGAATGGAACCCAGGACCCTTCAGTTTACAGGCTAATGCCTCACCTGCAGTGACTGGGGTAGCCCAGGTATGGTCAGCTGACACACCTGGTCAGGTGTCCCCGGTGAGGCCTCTCCACATGGCTGGTTTGGGTGTAGCACAGTGGGATGGTCTCCAGATAGTCAGACTGACGACCTGGCGGTATGTCACCAAGGCGGAGGAAGGTGAAGCTGCCCATCCTCAGTCCTGGGCTGTGAGTTCCAGAACCTTCTATGACTGTAAGTGCATCAAAAACAGTCACAGGATCAATTGGGCGGAGCATCACACACACGAGGAGGAAAGGAATTGGTGACAAATGGAGACAGCTGGCCGCACCAGCCAGCAGCAGAACCAACCAGCTGAGCCCAATCTGGATTACAGAACCATGAGGAAGTAAACAGTTGCTTGAAGTCGGGAGGTTTTGGGGTGGTTTGTCATGCACCAACAGATAACTGGGACAGACATTATTTTTCATGGTGGTGGCACCAATTTTTATATCTTTATTTATTTTAATATACATTTTATTGATTTTTTACAGAAAGGAAGGGAGAGGGATAGAGAGTTCGAAACATCAATCGACACATCCACTGGGGATGTGCCCACAACGAAGGTACATGCCCTTGACCAGAATCGAACTTGGGACCTTTCAGTCCTCAGGCTGATGCTCTAGCCACTGAGCCAAACTGGTTAGGGCAGTGGTGGCACCAATTTGTAATCCCAGCAACAATGCACGAGGGTTGCCTCCCCCCACCCACACTTGTTTGATTCATTGATCCCTTGATGATAACCATGTGATAGGTGTGTGGTGGTACCTCATGGCGTCCTCCCTTCTTTCTGATAAAAGTCAAAGAGCCTATTGCTCCTCCTGCGCTCTAGTCTGGTCACAATAGCCACCTCCATTTTCTTTTATTTATTTATTTATTTATTAAATATATTTTATTGAATTTTTACAGAGAGGAAGGGAGCTAGAGAGCTAGAAAGGTCTATGAGAGAGAAACATTGACCAGCTGCCTCTTGCACACCCCCTACCGGGGATGTGCCCACAACCAAGGTACATGCCCTTAACCGGAATCGAACCTGGGACCTTTCAGTCCACAGACCGACGCTCTACCACTGAGCCAAACAGGTTTCAGCTATTTATTAAGTATGTTTCCATTGATTTTAAAGAGGGAGAGACAGAAACATCCCAGGCTACGCACCCCCCCTCACACACACACGGAGCAGCAATGCAGGCATGTGCCCTGACATGACCGGGAATTGAACAGGTGACCATTGGTGCATAAGACGATGCTCAACGCACTGAGCCACACCAGCCGGGCGGCCACCTCCGTTTTCAAACATGCCAGGAATGTCCCCAGCTCGGGGCCTCTGCATCGCCTCATCCCACTGCCTGGAATGCACTCCCTGTGTGATGCTATGACGCATGCTTTCTCCTTCCACTGACTTGTGGGTCAGGCCTGCTCTGCTCCCCACCTTCACCAGGACCCCCAGCCTCTAAAGCTGACCTACGCGTTCCCCCGCGGCAGGTACGGCCTCCTCACTCCGCACATAACTCTCTCCACGGGCTTCCCTGCCTTCCCCGCTGGAACAGGAGCAGGCGCTTTCAATGTGTGCGCTGTGTGTGTGTGTGTGTGTGTGTGTGTGTGTGTGCTGGGGCCACAGCGCCAAGCTGGAGTGGTTGCCAGGAGGTGAGGAGTCCCTGGAGCAAGCTGTCTGCGCCCGGGACATCGCCCACCCGGTTAGGGAGCCTGCGGCCCGGGACGCTGGTGCAGCCTGGGGTTGGGAGCCGGCCGCCTGGTCCCAAACAGGCCCCGAGCTGAGGGGACAAGGCAGGGGGAGGAGGCCCTCCGCTGGGCTGATCTGGATTGGCCTTGCTTCTCGGCGGCCGGGCACCTGGGCCCCGCGCTCACCCCGATCCCGCCCCTGCCCGCTGCCCTGGACCGAGGGCCGTGTACGGGAGCCGCGGCGAGCCCAGCGCCCGGACCATGGCCCTGGGACAGCCGGGGGCGCAGCGCCGGGAGCCGCGCGGGGACCGGGGCGGCGCGGGGGCGGGGCGCGCGGTCCGGGGGAAAGCGCGGGGTCGCGGGCGGCGAGAGAGCCGGTGCCGGCACAAAGCTTCCCGCGAAACTGACGTCGCGGGGCGGCCGCGCAGGCCCCGCCCCCGGCCGCGCCCCTCCCCCGCGCTCGGCTCGCTGCGCGGCGCGCCTGCGCACTGGCCGGCTCCCCGTTGGCCGCGGCGGAGCGGCGCGCGCCGGCTGGTGCAGGGCGCGCCCCCCTATTGGCCGGCAGGCGGCGGGCGGGGGTGTGTCCGCGCCGCGCCCCGCCCTCGTCTCCGCTCGCGGTGGTGCGCGCGGCGGCGGCGGCGGCGGCGGCGGCGCGTGGCAGGTCCGGCGGGCTCGAGGCGGCGGCTGAGGCGGCCTGGTCCCGGCCCGGCCTCGTCCCGCCCGGCGGCCCGGACCCGACCCCGGCCCGCCCGCCCGCCCGGCTCGCTCGGCGCGCCGCGGCCCCGCCCCGGCCCGGCACCTCCCCAGGGAGCGGCGCCGCCGGCGAGCGCAGGCCTGGCCATGACCGACTTCAAACTGGGCATCGTGCGGCTCGGCCGGGTGGCCGGGAAGGTGAGCGGCGCGGGCCGGGGGCGGGCCGGTGGGCGCGGCGTCGGGGCGTGGGGCCGGGCCGGCCGGGGCCGCGGGGCCTGGCCGGGGGCGCCGGCCCGGCGGTTGTGAGGGCGGCGGCGGGCCGGCGGCGTGTCCCCGCGGGGCACCCTCCTTGGGCCGCGGCCTGGGGCCCGGGCGTGCGCCGCGGCCCGGGAGGAGGCGGCCCGGCGGCACCTGCGGCGCGGGGACCGCAGCGCCCTTCCGAGGCGGCGCGCTGGCTCGCCCCTGCGGAGGCCGGTGTGTGCGCGCCGCGCCGCGCCTGCGGGTCCGGTGGCGCCTCGCACGGGTTTCACGCGGCCAGCGGGGGCCCCCGCGGCCAGGCCTCCCTCTGCTGCTCTCCAGCCCGGGCCCGCCCTCCGCGGGGCCGAGGCCGGGGCTCCTGGCACCTGTGGGCATTGAGGCTTGGCTGTTTCCAGGAGCCGGCCGGCCGTGCCGCTGACCAGCCCCGGACCGTACCCTGGATGGGAACCCTGTTCCCATCGCCAGCGGCGGAAGCTTCGGGTGGGAGAGGAGCAGAGGCAGTCAGACGAAGGTAACACGGACGCAGACCCTCGGGAGCGGCTTCCCGAGCCAGAGCGAGCCGGCCCTGTGGGGGCTGCTGCTGCCCGCCCGCCCGCCCGGAGGCGTGGCCTCCGACCTAGGGACGGGTGGGCGCCCCGCAGCCCCGAGACCCTCCTGACCCAGCGCCACGCAGGAGCCTTCAGACCTTTTCCTCGGAGCGAAAGTAAAAAGGTCAATTCCGTGGGCAGCTGTGCGCCGGCTGCCCGGCTTAAGAAATGAACGTTAATCGAAACCTTCTGGATATTCTGCCTCAGTCCCGCCCCCTTCCTCTGCTCCGCGGAAGCCGTGCCCGGCTAGGCTTATTGGCACCTGAGACGGCACAGGGTCGAGGTTGGCCAGCTTGGTGGCAGGTCGGATGGGTAGCCTCGTGCGGGTGGCAAGCGCAGCCCGATGCCCGCTCCTCTGGTGCGGCCTCGGGGGGGACGGCCAGCCCTGGCACGGCTACCTGCTGCCTGGGGCAGACTGCCCACGCCCTCGCCTTCCGATCTCTGGCTCCTGAAGGGGCTGGTCCGTGCCGCCTGTCTCCAGTACCTTGCCCGTCCCGCATGTAACGTGTGAAATGTGGTTGATTTGTAGACCAAGTACACGCTGATAGACGAGCAGGACATCCCGCTGGTGGAGGGCTACTCCTTCGAGGTGAGGGCGCCCCCTTCGCCAGCCCTTGGGGAGGGCCGGGCCGGGGGGGGCCGGGCTCCCTGTAGAACTCGGTCTCAGCGCTGCCTCTGTGGCCCTCCTCCCAGTGGCCACCCTGATTGCTCCCCTTCCCCAGGAGAGACCAGTTGTGCCATATCCGTGACTGAATTCAACTGGATGAGCCCTGGTTCCTTAGGAGGCTGTCCCCCACCCCCCTAGCCTGGGCCCTGTCCCTCCCGGTGCCCAGTGCTCCTTCCTCTCTTCTTCCTGGTGCCCCTGCCTTCCACTGCGGCTGCTTGACCAGCTTCTGTTCATGCCCCAGGCCCCAGGCCCCAGGCCCCCACCGCTCCTCCCTCCGTGAAATCCTCGTCGGAACACCCCACACACGCATCCCCGGTCCTCACGCGCCTGCAGCAGCTGCTTGTGCCGGGTGCCCCTCTCACTGGTGGTGGCGTTTGTGAGGCCTCCTCTCCCTGTCCACCGTGCTGCTGCCTGTCGCGCTCAAATGCAGGGGCTGGGGACACGCGGGCCCGTGCTGTGTCCGGGCTCCCGGGGTCCCAGCTGCCTTGTTCAGGCGCTCGGTATCTCTAAGGGGGATCAGAACGGTTGCGCGTCGGAGGCTTCTTAGCAGACCTGTACCTTGTTCCTTCTCAGGCCAGGATGGAAGTGGATGCCGATGGAAATGGTGCTAAGATATTCGCTTATGCCTTTGACAAAAACCGAGGAAGGGGCTCGGGCAGGCTTCTGCATGAGTTGCTGTGGTGAGTATTACCGGGCTGCTTGTTCCCCACTGGGTCCTGCATGAACTCTGGGGCACAGGAGCCAGCGTGGCCTCCCTCGTGCTCTGTGCCCTCGGCTAACTCCGAGGAGTGGCGGCGTGCTGTGACACCAGCGGGCCGCCGGTCTCCAGACCACATGCTCTGCTGTTCACAGCTCACGGGGACGGTTACTGCCTCCCCAGGAGGGTGGGTTCTGCTCCCCCCCCCCCCCGACACCCCCTACACACACACCCGGCCATTCCCACCCCGGGCAAGCCCCCACCGCCCCAGTGTCTGTCCATTGGTTATGCCCACGTGCCTGCCGGCTCTGGCTGAGCCTGTGGGGGGACGTGGGGAAGCAGCTGCCGTCCTTGGTGTGCATGGGGGGGGGGATTGGGGGAGTCCCCTGGGCATCCTGACTCCGGTGTGCCATCAGTCAGTGTGCGGGCAGTGCAGGTGCGTGGCGGACGCTGGCTGGGCTGTGGAGGTGGGTCGAAGAGTGCCTGTTTCTAGGGAGCGGCACAGGGGCGGCATCGCCCCCGGCTTCCAGGTCGTGCATCTCAACGCGGTGACCGTGGACAATCGCCTGGACAACCTGCAGCTGGTGCCGTGGGGCTGGCGGCCCAAAGCGGAGGAGACCTCCAGCAAACAGAGGTGGGTCTTCCCGCTGCAGGCGCTGAGGACTGCTGCTCTCACACCGGCCCACGTCCCCGCGCTGCCCGATGCTGCTGTTGTCCCTGGACGTGTGGGCCTCTGTTCTGGGAGGCGGGGGAGGTCCTGGTGCTTCTCTTTGGGGGGCGTCTAGGCTGGACGCCTGCCGGCAGTAGCACTTGCCCTCGTCCCCGAGGCAGGGGGGGTGTCCAGCTCCTGCACACAGGTTTTTTTGTCCTGCTCCGTGCCCAACACTGACGCAGTGGGTGAGGGAGCAGGCCACGTGGATCAGAAGTTGGTCTCTACTGAGTCCTGCAAACGGCGCTTGTGCTCAGCACAGGCACCTGCCGGTGGGAAGGCCGCTCCGAGCCTGTTCCTGCGGCCTGGGGGCGCCCAGCTCGGAGCTTCGAGGAGCCCCTGGGACGAGCGGGGGACCAGCAGCAGGATGGGGCTGGAGCTGACAGGCCAGGGTGTCTCTGGCCACATGCATTCCAGGCTCGGAGGGCCCCCACGGGCTTCTGCATGCCCCCGGGCCTTTGGGCAGCTGTCCCCAACGGTGGTGGTGACTCCCAGCAGTCAGATGTCAGGGAGGTTGGACGGGTCAGTGTTTCCCGGGATCTTGGCAGACGGAGACGGGTGAACAGCCAGTTGTCATCCTCACGGTCTTGCTGGAGCCTGAGCAGCGGGTTCAGAGGCCACGTGTCGGGTGGTCCCAGGCTCTCAGACATGCCTGCACCCCGTGCCTTCCTCCCAGGCGCTCAGCACGGAGGGGCAGGGCTGGGCCGAGCCTTTTGTAATCCTCGTCCTGCATTTCTGGTTGAATGTGACAGATCCTGGCTGGTAGGTCCGTGGCTTAGAGCAGTGGTTGCTAGCCGGTGGCTCGTGAGGTCCGAGAGGTTGGCGATCTCTGGGGTAGAGCATTGGTGTGATATGCAAGTTTCCAGGGTTGACCCCTGCTCAGAGCAAATACAGGAACCAACCAATGAATGCACAAATAAGTGGAACAAGACATGGGTGTCTCTCTCTCCTTCTTCCTGTCTCTCTTTGAAATCAATACATTAAAAACAAAAAAGAAAGAAGTGCCCTGGCTGGTGTGGCTCAGTGGATAGAGCATTGGCGTGGGGACTTACGGGTTTCAGGTTTGATTCCAGTCAAAGGCACATGCCTGGGGCAGGCTTGATCCCCAGTAGGGGTCATGCAGGAGGCAGCCAATCAATGATTCTCTCTCATCATTGTGTTTCTATCTCTCCCTCTCCCTTCTTCTCTGAACTCAATAAAGATATGTTTTAAAAAGAAAAGAAAGTGACAAAAACAAGGCCCAAGTTTGGCTGAAGCAGAGATCGGGCACTGATTGGCGCGGCCACCAGAGCGGCAGACGCGCTGCCCCCGGCAGGTCCCCGAGGCCTCGCAGGCCCTGGGTCACCAGTGAGCTGCGTTAGCTCACGTTTCTCCCCGGGCGCTGGGACGGACGGCTGGTCCACAACAGAACCGAAGGAGCAGGGCAGCCGCCTCAGGTTCCCGGGCCAGTGAGCACGCGTGTGCGGTGTCCATGCGGGACCTGCCCTCCCCGACCCAGCAGGCCCTTTAGCCCCCGTCACCAGCAAAGGGTCTGCTCCTCCGGGTCCCTTCTTCCTAAGGCCGACCAGCACCCGTGTGTCCACCACGTGCGCCTTACCCTTGGTCCGGTGGCGGCGCTGGGTGGCTGCTCCGTTCCAGCGTGGGGAGCGATGCTGCTGTGAGTGTGGGTGTGCAGACCCCGTTAGGACCCCCCGTCAGTTCTTGTGGGCGTGCCCCCAGGAGTTAGATTGCGGGTCCTGTTGGTGATTTTCTGAGGGCCCTCAGACAGTTCCCCAGTGGCTCCCGCCGTATGGTACACGGTGCCCAGGCCCCCTCCACATTCCCTCAGCACTTAGCTTAGTTTGTTTAACAGCAGCCATCACTGTGTGTGTTGGCTCATTGTAGTTTTGCTTTTTCCTGCCCACTGGGGATGTTGAGCATGTTCTCGTGGGCTTTGGGCCATTTGTGTGTCTGGAGAATGTGTAGCAGTCCTGTCTTTAAGTTCCGTTATCTTGTTGCATTGTACTGGTCTTTATGTACTCTGTAACCGTTATCACATCTATGGCTTGCAAATCTTTCTCCTCATTTTCTGGGTTGCCTTTTTACTCTGGACAGTATCTTGATGCACAACAGCTTAAATTCCGTGAGGTCCACACGCCTGTTTCCTCTGTCAGCTGAGGCTCGGTGGCCTGTCCAGGAAGTCGTGGCCAAGACCAGTGTAGGGCAGCTCTTGTCCTGGGTTTGCGTCTTCTTCTTCTTTTTAATACTTCATTGATTTTTTACAGAGGGGAAGGGAGATGGATAGAGAGTTAGAAACATCGATGAGAGAATCATTGATCAGCTGCCTCTTGCACACCCCCCACTGGGGATGTGTCTGCAACCGAGGTACATGCCCTTGACCGGAATTGAACCTGGGACCTTTCAGTCCGCAGGCCGATGCTCTACCACTGAGCCAAATCGGCTTCGGCTGGGTTTGCTTCAGAGAGACCTTGTGTTTGAGGTCTTATTTTTAGGTCCTTGGTTCATTTTGAGTTACCCTGTTTCCCCGAAAATAAGAGTGTCTTATATTAATTTTTCTCCCAAAGTTGCGCTAGGTCTTATTTTCAGGGGATGTCTTATCTTTCCATGCGCTAGGTCTTATTTTTAAAGGCTGTCTTATTTTCGGGGAAATACGGTAGTTTTTGTGTACGGTATTGGGTGAGGGTGACCCTTCCCATTCTTCTTTTTTAAAAACTATTTTCATTGATTTTTTACAAAGATACAAGGAGAGGGAGAAATATCAACAATGAGAGAATCGTGGATCGGCTGCCTCCTGCACACCCCACACTGGGGATGGAGCCCATAATCCAGGCATGTGCTCTGACCGGGAATTGAACCAGTGACCTCTTGGTTCCTGGGTCATCGCTCAGCCACTGAGCCACACCAACCAGGCTTCTTTCCCTTTTTTACCCAAGTCCCCACAGGCCTGGGGTTAAACTTCCTGGAAGGCCACAGTGCTGCCTGTGAGGGCGCCTCACTCCGGAGCCCTCAGTTGCAGCCCTGCTGTCCTCACACGGACGGGGTGGAAGGGTGCGGGCAGCACAGCACTGAGGGGAGGAGGCGCAGACCAGCGACGGAGCAGGCGCTGCTGGGGCCCTGAGCAGGGAGGGGACTGCTGCTGGCTCAGGTGGCAGGCGCGGTGGGGTCCTGAGGCTGAGTCCCATGCCTGCCGTGTCCCTGGCGCCAGGTGCGGGAGACCCAGCCCTGCTCTGCGCCTGTCAGTGGGGAGACCAAGGCTACAAAGTAGGTGTCAGTGGGGATGAGCCCACAGTGCGGGTGGGCCACGTCCAGTTGCCAGGACAGAAATGGGGGTGGCCGTCCTGGGTCCTGCATCATCCTCTGTCCTCGCTGGGCCCCTTCTCCTTCAGGGAGCAGAGCTTGTACTGGCTCGCCATCCAGCAGCTGCCCACGGACCCCATCGAGGAGCAGTTCCCCGCGCTGAGTGCCACGCGGTACTACAACGCCAACGGGGACGTGGTGGAGGAGGAGGAGAGCTCCTGCACCTACTACGAGTGCCACTACCCGCCCTGCACCATGATCGAGAAGCAGGTACGGCGCCCCGCTCCGTCCCCTCGGGCTCGGGCCTCCAGAGGAGGTAGTTCTCGGCAGGACTGAGGTCACCTGCTCTGTGCTTTCAGCTCCGGGAGTTCAACATCTGCGGGCGCTGCCAGGTGGCGCGGTACTGCGGCTCGCAGTGCCAGCAGAAGGACTGGCCCGCCCACAAGAAGCACTGCCGGGAGAAGCGGCGCCCCTTCCAGCACGAGCCCGAGCCGGAGCGATGACTGGGCAGCGGCAGCCCGGCTGTGGCTCCAGGCCCGCCCTGGGCGCCGCGGACACGGTGGTGGCTGAGCCTGGTGTGGAAGAAGCCGGCAGCGCCCGGAGCCGCGGCGGTGGCGGCGGCCCTGGTTGCGGGCACTTGGCGGGGCCAGCGCTCCCCTGGAAGTGCTCCCTGCAGGACAGCTGGGAGGCTCCCGCCAGGATGCTTCTCATTATTTATATGTTAATATGTTTGTAAACTCATGTACAGTTTTTTGGGGGGGAGGCCGTGGGGGGTTAGGAGTTACAAATAGAATCATTTGCTGTCATCCTCAAGCTGCAGACGGTCAGGCCACGGGTCTCAGACTGTCACAGCAGGAGCCGCCAGGAGTGCGGCCTCGGTGTGGCGTCCACACGGAAAGTAAAGGGCAGTCACCCAGCACCTGCTCTGCGCTCCTCCTTTCCGCTGAGCCTGTTTCTGCTGGGCCGGGCCCTGGGGTGGGGGCTGCCTCGATCCCGGCTTCTCCCAGGAGTGAGCCCAGACCCACTGGCCTGTGGCGGGGAGCGGCCCGGGGATCGCAGCCCAGCTGCGACGTTCTCGCCTGGACTCCCTGGGGCCGGCAGGTCTCTGAGGCCCTGCCTGTGAACAGCGACCTGGAGGACGGGAGCTCTGCTCCCCACACCTGCTGGGCCTCCGCCTCCCTGGAGCCACAGATGTCCGAGTGCTGGGCCACCCGGCAGCACCCTGCACAGCCACCCTGGGGCAGGGAGCTGGGCTGTGTGGTTGGCATCTGGCTGGGAGGATGACTGGGTGGCCCCGGCCCTGGAGTTGCTGCTGCTCTCCATGCCAGCTCTTCTGTGCTCACCGCGGCCTGGCTGGGCGGCCCATGCTGGCCTGTTCTCTGCTGAGCTTCCTGTCGCTCCTTTGCATGTGTGGTGTCCTGTGCAGAGTCCCGGGGAGCAGGCATAGGAAATGTAGAGCTCACGGGAACAGGAGGGCTCTGTTCTCACCCTGAAGGAGGGTTTTCTGGACGGGAGAGGACTCGCATTCCCACACACTTGTTTGGCCAGACGCTCCTTTGCAGTCAGCGGTCAGGCATGGGTATTTTCTGGGTCCGAGAGTTTTGCCCCACGGGCGGTCTGTTCAGGTCCCTCCAGACCTTGGGATGAGCAGTGATGGGCTCAGCTATTGGGGGCGGTGACATGTGTGATCCTGAGAGAGAGTTGTCCCTACAGCTGGTTTGAGCTCTCGGGACATTCCCGGTGACTGCGTCCAGAGGCTAGTTCTGGCCAGGACAGTTGGGGGTGGGGCTGTATAGGCCTGGGCCCTGAGTGCTCAACAGCTTCTTTCAAAAAGGCTCCTGGGCTGCAGCTACGGGTTCTGCCTGTCCTCTGGGGACTGGCCAGGTTGGTGCTTCAGCCGGTCTACATCCCCTGACCAGCACGTTGCTCTGCAGTCAGACATTCGTCAGAAAACCCATTGGAAGGGACGTGCCAATCTGCTGACCACAGTGCCCACTGGGTCCTGACACTTGGCTGCTTCCTACGTGTCTCGTGGTGCTTCAGGCATAGCCTTGACCTGGGGGTCACTGTCAGCCATGGAGCTGGCGCCACAGGAGGCAGCGTCCCAGCCCTGGGCTGAGCTGGGAGCGTGGCCTTGGCCTACAGTTGGCCCTGCAGCAGTTCCTTCCCTGTGCTCATGTCATCACCATGGTGTGGAGAGGTGCTATTGGTCCACAGACTCACTAGCTTTCCTTGTCTGCTGCCTTGTACCCAGCCCAACCTCCTGATCTTTGTAGCCACACAGCTGAGCATCTAGGAAGTCCGACATTCAGAAGGTCCGTTCACCGCGGGGCCTGTTTTTGACCTGGTGGCAATGTGGCTGGTGGAAAACATCTCTCTTTGGGGCAGAGTCCACGACTGTTCCCAGTCCTCCTTTCTTCAGCGGTGTCAGCGTCCTGTAGCTCCGGGTCTGACCGAGGCTGTGCTGGCCACTCCTTTATATGCTGAATCTAAGTGGCGGGGGACCCCTGCCCTCCCTGGACACTGGCTGTTCTCCAGGCACCTGCACCTGTGCAGAGGGCCTGTGTCCTCTCCCGCTGCCCTGGCTGTCAGGCCTGCATCCTATCCCACTGCCCTAGCCTGTGTCCTCTCCCGCTGGGCCGCCCGCCTTCCTGGGTGGGCAGGAGGGGAGGAGGGCAGCCGAGGCCCAGCTCCTTCCAGCCTGGACTCCGCTTCACGCATGTGAAGGCCCTTTGCACACTTCCCTTCTCCGCTGCCCTCGGGCCCAGCTGTCCTGTCAAAACCCAGGCAAGGGGCTCGCCCTGGCACTTGGCGCCCGCCGAGGTCCGCCGGCCGGGAGGGGGCGCAAGAGCTCGGCCTTAGAAGGGGGAGGCAACTGCGGCCGGAAGTCCCGCCCCAGCACACCGGAAGGAGTCGGGAGGGAGGTCACTGCGGAAGGGGAGCAAGTACCTACCGGTGCGGCGGCGCGGGCGCTCCTTTCGCGCTTGGGTTCCGGCCGCAGACCCCGGCCGACCCCGCCGTCGCCTCGGCCCCTCCCGGGCGCGCAAGCTGGCCTCGTCATCCGTCCACAGCGCCTCGGCCTCCGCCGCGGCCGACGCCGGGGGGCCGGGCGGGCCCGCGCAGCTCCTGCAGGCGCTGGACACGGAGTTCACGGCCGACTCGGTGGAGTGGTGCCCGCTGGAGGGCTACCGGCACCTGCTGGCCTGCGGCACCTACCAGCTGCGGGAGCCGGAGAGCCAGGTGCGGGCGGCCCTGGGGCTGCCGCGGTCCCGGGCGCATGGCCCGCGCCGGGGGTGTGGGGGGCAGAGCCACCCCGGCCCCCACCCCCGCCCCCGCCCCACGGCCGCACCTCCCCGGTCTGCGGCCCAGCGCTGAGACAGGCGCCCCTGGGCCCACAGGGGGACGGTGCGGCGTCTGCCTGGGGCCCAGGGGCAGATCTCTGTGGCTGAAGGCCCTCTGGTTGCGGCGTGGCTCCAGCTGATGTGAAGAGAAAACGCGCTGTGTGGGGACTGCACCCAGTCTATGGGAGCAGACACGTGGGCCCAAACCGCGACCCTTAGGGGTGACCGCTGGCGCTGGAGCACAGGCCCCAGCCGGACTGCCCTGTGCGGCCCTGAGCACCGCTGGCCCCTGTGGGCTGGTGTGGAGGGAGGCTCTGAGCTGGGCCCGCGCAGTGCCCGGCAGCCCTCTCCCTCGCTCCCTGCCCCACCGTCAGCCTCTGTCGGGGTCACCTGGACACCTGCATCTTTTGCAGAGCAAAGAGGACGTTCCTGAGCCTCAGGCCCGCTTGGGCCGTCTCTACCTGTACAGTTGCAGTGGCCCCTCTGCTTGCTCGGTGACTGAGATTCAAAGACGAGACACGTCTGCCATCCTGGACATGAAATGGTACGGACCTGCGAGAACCCCACGGCCTGGAATCGCGTCACTGGCAGGGTGCCTGATGCCGGCAGCATTCCGTCGCCTCCGAGCAGCTCGGCTCTTCACTGCCCTCCCGCCTGCGGGCACTGGCGGGGTGATGCAGCCTGGGGTCCGTGTCCTTTGTCAGTCTCCCAGCCCCAGAGTCAGCCCTGTTCTGAGAGTGGTGCTGGTGTGAGGGTGTGTAGGCTGGGGATCCAAAGCAGCGTAGGGGCTCCCCTGTGAACGGCGAGTTCCTGGGGTGCTTTGTGCCATCCTGGGCCCCTGTCCTGACTGGCACGTGGACTCTCCCCTCAGGTGCCACATCCCGGTGGCTGGCCACGCCCTCTTGGCTGTGGCCTGTGCCGATGGGCTCATAGGGCTATACCAGCTGCTGAGATCCAAGGTCAGTGGCTGGGGAGGGCGTCCTCGGGCTGGAGGGGACATCTCCCTGGGGTGGTCTCTGTGCAGGGAAGTCCCACACACAGCGGTCCGGGGCAGCCATGGCCCGTTTTAAAGTGTCGGGTTCTTCCCCGCAGGTGGGCAGGGCTCGGCCTCTCCCTCTGGTAAGAGGTCCTGTGAGTGTCATATCAGAAGGCCTGAAGCCGCGGGCTGCTGGCCTAGCTGTCATCGCCTCTGAAAGGACTTCTGTAAGGAGAGCCTGGACCACCGTCCTTTTTTTTTTTTTTTTTTTTTACAATATGTTCTTATTGATTTCAGAGAGGAAGGGAGAGGGGGAGGGAGGGAGGAACCTCAGAGGTGAGAGAGAGTTACTGACCTGCTGCTGTCTCCTGCACGCCCCCCACTGGGGACGAGCCCATACCCGTGACCTGGTTTATAGGTCGCCGCTGAACCATTGAGCCACACTGGCCGGGCAGCAGAGACTTTCTTACGTGGGACCTGCCCTTCTCAGTGACGGTTGGGAGAGCACACGATCGCAGCCCTCATCCTTGGGAGCCTGGAGGGGAGGGGAGAGGAGGGGACAGCCCCCCTCCCAAGGCCATGCCTGCTCTGGAGCACACGGGGTCTGCGCGGGAGGCCTGAGCAGAGCCTCAGGGCGCCGGGCTCCTGGCCTCGGAGGGCTGTGTGGAGAGGCCTTGCTCCCGGCCGCGGGAAGGAGCGGCTTGTCCTGGGAACAAGGGAGAAGACGGGGCCCCGGGACCGGATGGAGGCCCAGGGCCCGGGATCGAGGCAGCAGCCGTAAACCCGAACGGAGCCGCCTGTGGGGCGGTTAAGCGGGTCCAGGTCGCGTAATGAAACCTCCGAAGGTGTTAGGAGAGAGAGACAGCACTTCAGCGGCACATGGACTCTCCCCTCAGGTGCCAAATCCCGGTGGCCAGTCATGGCTTCTGGAAAGGAAACCAGAGGGAAGTGTCTGTTGTCTCTGTCTCTGAAGGCCCAGCCACCTGGGGAGCTGAGGGCGGACACCAGGGCCCTTCCAGGCCCGGGGGGGGAGCGGGGACGGGCAGCGAGGGGCTGAGTGCCATGCCTGCTCCCCCGAGGTCACTCGCGGCTGGGACTTCCTTCTGTAGGTATGTGAGCTCTCAGGTCCCCCGGGAGCGAAGGAGAGCGAGAGGGGGCGGCGGCGGCCGGAGCCGGGGGCTGCCCTCCAGGTTCCCGGGTGGCGCTTGCAGCGGTTTGTGCCCCAGGAGACCGCCTACCGCCTGCAGCCGCTCACCAGCTTTGCCCTGAGCAAGCAGGGTCTGGCCTTGTCCCTGGATTGGTCCACCGGGAAGGCGGGAAGGTGAGCGCCCCGTCTTCGCGCTGAAGGCTCGTTCCTGCTTTTGTGGGGGAGCGTTGGCACCCCCCGTGCTTCCCTGGCCGCGGCCCCTAGACCCCGGGTGCCATGCCAGGCCCCCCACCCCCAGGACAGAAATCCCAGCCTTCTAGCTAAAGGGTGGTGTCTCCGTCCGGAGCGGCCGACGGTCTGACCTCCACAGGCTGAGTGGGAGTGCCGCTCTGCAGGTGCCCAAGCTGCTTACACACCTGCCACTTGCCAGGCCCAGGCAGAGCCGCCCGGGGTTTGCTTGGGACCCTGAAGAGGCGATGCGGTGGGTCTGAGTGACCTTCACCGGGTTCTCCGTTGCTCCCTGTGTCTAGGGACAGCTGCCAGCCCTTAAAGATCATCAGCAGCGACTCCAAGGGCCAGCTGCACCTGCTCCAGCTGGGCGAGGCGGGGTCCCAGCTGCATGAGGTGGCCGCCTGGCAGGCGCACCAGTTCGAGGCCTGGATCGCGGCTTTCAATTACTGGCAGACGGACGTGGTGTACTCCGGTGGGTGTCCTGCGCCGGCAGCAGCCACGCACCGGCATCACGCCTCCCTCTCTCCGACCCTGGCCTCGCTGGGACCGGAGACCTCGTGCGCAGAACGCGCTTTCCGGGCGGGAGCTGTGGCTGCTCCCCACCTCTCAGCTCAGCAGCGCCCGCTGCAGGATCTGCGGGAGCCCTGCCTCTGCGGTGCCGTCTGCGCCGTCGGCAGAGGCCCCAGCGTGGCCGGTGTTTGTGGGTCCCGGGGGCTCGGGGCTGGATTTCAGGCTGCTGCTGCCTTTATGGGGGTTTGCCTTCCTGAGGGAAAGGGGGTGGGAGAGAGGGATCGGCTTGCTGGTGCTGTGACTTGGGGACGAGGAGGGAGCAGTGGCCGGTCCAGCCTCTGGCCCAGGCAGGGTTCTCCCCGCGGAGGGGCGGCCTTGGCCCCTGAGGGGACAGGTGAGGAGCCGCTGCCCCTGCAGGAGGCAAAGATCCCACCTGCTCCTGCTCCGTCCCTGGCGGGGAGGAGCGGGCTCTTCGGTCAGAGCCGGTAGCTGGGCTGCCTCGCCCCACCAGACCGCTCCTGCCAAGGTTCTGGTCGCGGCCCCCAGGCCAGCGGCCCCTTCGGCCCATCTTGCTCAGCTCCTCACAGCATTTGGCATGCGACCCTGGGTCTGGATCCGGGCTCCCCTTCCGCTCTCCACCCCGCCCTCTGCCTCTGTCCTCACTCAGCAGGTGACTCTCCTGAGTGCAGGCACTGTCCCTGCTGGAAACACTTGCCCTTGGCCCTCCTCCAGGGGGCGCCGCGGAGCCCCCACCGTGTCGGATGGCACCCCTGCTCCCCTCTCTTTAAAACTGTGGAACGCTTCACGAATTTGGGTGTCATCCTTATGCAGGGGCCATGCTAATCTCTGTATCGTCTTCATTTTAGTATAGGTGCGGCCAAAGTGAGCACTCTGCTATTTTTTTGGAAAAAATATATTCTATTGATTTTTTACAGAGAGGAAGGGAGAAGGATAAAGTGTTAGAAACACCGATGAGAGAGAAACATCCATCAGCTGCCTCCTGCACACCCCTTATTGGGGATATGCCCGTAACCACGGTACATGCCCTTGACCGGAATCGAACCCGGGACCCTTCAGTGCTAAGGCCAATGCTCTATACATTGAGCCACACGGTCAGGGAACACCCTGCTCTTAACATCCAGCACCAGCACAGGGTTTGGCGGCCACACCAGAAACCTCTGCCTCCTCGGCCCCCCGGGTCCGCCCTTGTTGGTCTTCTCAGGTCTCGGCACTGGCCGCCTCCCTCCTCTCTGTCGTGCTCATCCTGTGTTTGGCGCTTACCTCCCCCCAGGGTGGGGCCTCAAACAGCCTCAGAAACAACGAGGATTTCATTTCATTTTCCAGTTAGTCCCTCTGCCTTGCGGCTCCGCTGATGCAGGGCAGGGGTGTAGTGGGCAGCGAGTCGATCATTCAGGACCAATCCAGTTACTCAGCGAGCGTTCTCTGGGCGCTTGGGCACATGCGTGAGGGAGGGACAGTCCCTGCCTTCACTGAGCCCACATTGATGGGAGGACATGGACAGAACCGACACCAAATAGACAGTAAGTTAGCCCAGAGGTCAGCAGAGCCAAATGTTAAATAATTATGTAAATAATTATTTACATAATTATGTAAATAATTATTTACATAAAAATGTAAATAATTATAAAAATAATTTTATATATAGAATTATTTTTATATATAGAATTATTGTTTATATATAGAATTATTTTTCTGTATTTATTGAAATGAGCATTTTGAGTAACAAATATCAATAGGACGACGGTTGAAATTTCTTTTGAGAGCCAAGATTTTTTTTGTTTTGTTTTTAAAAAATATATATTTTATTGATTTTTTACAGAGAGGAAGGGAGAGAGAGAGCTAGAAACATCGATGAGAGAGGAACATCGACCAGCTGCCTCTTGCACACCCCTACGGGGGATGTGCCCGCAACCAACGTACATGCCCTTGACTGGAATCGAACCTGGGACCTTTCAGTCCGCAGACCGATGCTCTATCCACTGAGCCAAACCGGTTTCGGCGAGAGCCAAGTTTTTTAAATTTAAACTATATAGGTAGGTCCATTGTTATGAACTTAATTAGGGTCCTCCTAAGCTGGCCTTTGCAAAAAACTTGAGAGCCGTGGTTTGCCAACCACTGAGTTAGCCAATTGCACAGGAGGGCCGAGGCAATAGGTGCTGGTAAGGATAGAGCCAGGGGCCAGGGTGCTGCGCCGGTGCAGAGGGTCCCGTTGCAGAGCCGGTCCTGTGGGGAGGCCTGGAGTGGGGGAGCCTGATGCTGGACAGTCGAGAGGAGCAGTGACAGGAGGAGCAGGTGACAAGAGGTCACCGCCAAGGCCAGGGCCGTGCAGGCAGCCCCGGAGCTTGGCCTCGCTGGTGTAACGGAGCCCTCACGGCAGCTCGGGTTGCTGTCCCTCACTCGGAGTTGCGCCATGGGGACCTGGGAATGCCCGTCAGGCCTGCCGCGGAGCTGCCAGCTCTCCCTTCTTCCCCGCAGGCGCCTCTCCGAGTCCAAAGGCAGTGGTGGCTCGGTGCCTGGGCGGGGTGCTGACCTGAAACCCAGGAAAAGGGGCCCCTCCCCTCACGGCCTCAGGTTCCCGCTGTGAGACATACCACCTGCTGCTGCAGGCCACGGTCAGCCTTGCTTCTCTCCGCAGGTGGGGACGACGCCTTGCTGAAAGGCTGGGACACCAGGGTCCCCAGCGCATCGGTGTTCACCAGCAAGAGGTAAACCCCGGGCTGGCGGTGGGTTGACAGCACCTCCCGGAGGGGCTGCCGCGCCTGCTGAGGCCTTGCCCTTTGGTTACAGACACGGCATGGGGGTGTGCAGCATCCAGAGCAACCCCCACCGGGAGGGCATCCTGGCCACCGGGAGGTGAGGCCACGGCTGTTCCCGCGCCCTTCCTGCTCTCCCTTCCTGTCCTTGGGCCGGGGTGCGGGTGGGGGAGGGGGACTCGGCCCCCGGTCCTGGGAGACGACCCTGCATGGGGCCCTCTCGTTGGGTTTCAGCTATGACGAACACGTGCTGCTGTGGGACACGCGGAGCATGAAGCAGCCGTTCGCAGACGTGCCCCTGCAGGGCGGGGTGTGGCGGCTCCGGTGGCACCCTGTGCACAGCCACCTGCTGCTGGCGGCCTGCATGCACGGAGGCTTCAGCATCATCGACTGCCGGCAGGCCACGGGTGAGGGCCCTCGCCTCCTGCCCCCCATCCCCCAGGCCGGCTCTGAGCGCCCCGGAGTCTCGGTTGCAAGCACTGTGCCCTTGGGCTGCAGTTCTTCCCTGAGCAGCTCCGTGGTTCTGGAGCCTTCTGCACTGCCCGGGACCTCTGTGCCAGGAGCCTTCCCACTTGTCTCTTTCCTAACCACCCGTGGCCCACCTTCTGCCTTGTCCTTCCTGCCGGCGGACAAGGTGGTCTGCACGGCCAGGTGCCCCCAACGTGCTTCCCTTCCTCTCCTGCTCCACTCCCCCTGTGGGCAGAACCAGCACCGGTTCCGCCCGCTCTGCTGGGCCGTCCTGCAGGGAGTGCTGGCAGGCCCTGCGAGTCGCCAAGCACGGACCTGGCCTGTGCGGCCCTGCACCATCCTTGCGTGCTCTGTTGCGATTCAGACCGCGTGGCCCTGACCCTGCACGTGGGAGGCAGCGGTGGCCACCCTTTGGGTGCTGGCCTTTCCGGCTGGTGACGGCTCCATGCTCACATCCCCTCACTGGCCTGGTGTTCCTCAGCGGCTCCAGCCAGCCTCGGCCGGCGTGGGCTGGACCCCTTTCTCTGGTCCTGTCGCTCTGACCATCGGCAGCTGTGTGCCTTCTGGACGGAGGCCTCGCCTCCCCCGGTCCCACCTCCAGCCTCCAAGTTGCCACAGCAGCTCAGGAAACCTCCAGGAAACTGCTCACGTTCCAACCCTTCCAGCTGAGTGTGCTGACGGGGACCATCCAGCCTGTCACCATGCCCCGGGCCTTCCCCTCATCCCTGTGTTTGTGGCTCCCCAGGAGCCGTGCTCTCACTGCCTTGCCTCCGCGGGCAGCTCCTGTCCTCAGCTGTGCACGCGTCCTGCCAGCCAGGCCCAGTGCTCTCAGGTGCATGGAGCATCGCACCTGGTGTCAGCCAGCCTCTGTCCACCCCACGCCCACTCCCGCAACAGTGGTGCTCGCCGTGAGGGCGGGCAGGGCCATCGGCAGGGTCAGAGACCAGCTCCGCATAACGATGCATTTCCTGTTCTGTCTCTGTCCAGAGAAGAAGCAGAACATGTGCACCATCTGTGTGTCCCACACGCTGCCCAGGTCCCTGCTGTATGGAGCCGACTGGTCCTGGCTCACCTTATGCCGTCTGCCTGAGGAGCAGCTGTCATCCCACTCAGCGCCCTTACCCGGCTGCTCCCTAGTGGCCAGGACGGGAGACGAGGGTGGAGGCCAGTGGCCAGGACCTCCCTGTCCTGGCAGTCTCGCAGAAGTCACGAGTGGAAGCAAGGAAAGTCCTCCCCTGCCGTCCACAGAGGCGAGGAGCATCAGCAGCCAGCGGCACAGCCCAAGGACCAAGATCCGTGTCTGTGACCCAAGAGTGGGAAGACCCGACCTCGACATCAACCTGCTGGCCACATGCTCCTTCTACGACCACGTTCTCCACCTCTGGAGGTGGGACAGCAGCTGAGCCAGGGAGCTGCCCGGCTCGGGACCACAAAGGCCAGGCCGTGAACGAGCTGCCTCAGACCCTCCTAGGCACATGCTTGGGTTGTGGGCTCCATCCCCAGCCGGGGGGGGGGGGGGGGGGGGGGGGGGCGTGCGTGCAGGAGGCAGCTGATCCATGATCCTCATCATTGATGTTGCTCTGTCTCCCTCCCCCTCTGAAATCAATTAAAAACAAGCACAAAATACTGAGATTCTGGCCGGGAGTGCCTCTCCCAGCTCTCAGGCTTGTCTTCTGTGGATCTTCCAATTCTTCCCACTCGTTTAAGCATCGTTTACAGTAATTACACCAGCACTGTTAAAAGATCACCCACCCCACGGAGGCACCGGAGGCGCTCCTGTCTTTGCCAGCGTGGCAGCAGGGGGAAGGGGGTGTGGGTGGGGAAGGCGGGGTGGGCACGCTTCCTGACCCTGGCTTCCGGGAGCTGCGGAGCTTCCCCACGTTGTACACGAGAAACCCACACACTCGGCTGGGCTTCTGACCCCCGACGTCCAGACAAGCTCGCCCGGGGCATGGGCCACCCCTGAACTCGCCAAGCCATCAGCATTACTGGGGGGGGGGGGGGGGCGGCCTGAAACGTGCACTTGAGCGTCTCCCTGAGGGGGCCGCACGGCTCGCGTCCGACCAGGACGTGCTGGGTCATTCTGGCTAACTGGTCAGTCCCCTTACCATCCGCTGGAGCTTCCGTTCCTTAAGGGTCAATCCAGTACTAAGACCACAAAACCCTAGGCCCATGGTCGGCAAACCGCAGCTCGGGAGCCACATGCGGCTGTTTGGCCCCTTGAGTGTGGCTCTTCCACAAAGTACCACGGCCTGGGCGTGTGTTTTGAGGAAGTGGCGTTAGAAGTCTCAGCTTAAAAATTTGGCTCTCCAAAGAAATTTCAGTTGTTGTCCTGCTGATATTTGGTTCTGAGGACTGATGAGTTTGCCGACCCCTGCCCTAGGGGTTCCCGCTTAAACAGGCCGGGCACGGGGAACAGACAGATCCCTCGGTGTGCCCGGTGTGCTGCCAGGGAGCAGCGCCTCTCACCTGACGCGCCCCCACCCCGCCGCCAGCTGCTCTGGAACCGTGAGCGGTCACCAGGGGGTGGACTGGCGGCGGGGACACGTGGCACCCAACCACGGGAAGGGGCCGAGCCCGCCCTCCACCTCACCAGGACCACACGCCAAGCACACGCGCGAAGGTAGCCGGGCCTTTAATGGGGGCCGGGGCCGGGGCCGCTAGCGCGGGAAGTTCTTGGGGTACAGCTGGAAGAGCTTGCCCTCCTGCGTGGGCTCGAAGCCGTACTTCTCCAGGCGCTCGGGGTCGAAGGTGCCGGCCCTGAAGTCCTTCTCGATGGCGGGCGCCACCGCCTCGCGGAAGAGCTGCTCGGCCGTCAGGGGCGTGTCGGTGCCCGCGGGCGCGCGGTAGTTGACGTAGGGCTTGAGCTTGAAGCCGGTCAGGTCGGGCACCACCAGCTCGGGCACCTGCTCCTTGACGAGCAGGAACTTGCCGCCGCGGACGAGGTAGCCGGTGCCCTTCGCGCCGCGGCTCTTGTAGAAGGTGCGCGGGCCCCGCTTGCTCGTCCACTTGCTCATGCGGTCGGCGCCGCGGACCACGCAGCGCGCCGCCGCGCCCAGGAGCCCCATGCCGCCGCCGCCGCTCTCGTGCGCCCCGGGCCTCCGCGGCGCGCTTCCGGCTCCAGAAGCGGCTTCCGGCGCCAGGGGCAGCTTCCGGCGCCCGCCCCTCGCGCCGCAGCAAGAGCCGCTCCGATTGGCTGCGCCGCGCCCAGTGCGCAGCCGCGGTCCTGCGAGGGGGCGGGACCGGAGGGGACCCGGCCAATGAGCGGGGAGAGCCGGCGTCGCTGCGCGGCGGCGAGAGCGCGGGCTCGGTGAGTGGCTGCCGCGCGCCCCGAGCTGCGCCCGGCGTCCGGCCTTCGGGGAGGGGTGGCCCGCGGCTCCCCAGCCCGCGCCCGGCGCACTCGGCCGCTGGCCACTGGGAGGAGCTCCTCTCGGGCCCGGGCACCAACCGTGCCCCCACCTGACGCCCCCAAACTCGGTGCCCCCGTTACTCTGACACCTTAACCTGTTGCTGCTGTAACACCAGCGCCCCTAACCGCGTCGCCCCTCGCACCCCAGTAACAATGAAGCCCCCAAACCCAACGCTCATCTTAACACCCATGTCCCTGTGACACCGACGCCCCCATACCCGTGACCCCTGAACCTGAAGCCACAGTAACACCGACGCCCCTTTACTCCGACACCCTCTAACCGACACCCTCTAACCTGTCGCACTGACGCCCCGTTACCCTGACACCCCATGTCCCCAAACCCCCAACTGACGCCTCCCTAACTCTGGTGCCCCCAGAACCCCAGTGGCCCCCCTAAATCTGACGCCTGGAGAGACTCCTGTTCCCTAACCTCCACAGCCAGTCCAGACACCCCTAACTTGCCATTTCCACTAATCCTGACATCCCCCAACCCTGGACACCCCTAACCCTGGATACCCCTATCCCTGACATCCCCCAACCCTGGACATCCCTAACCTGATATCCCCCCAAACTCGATCTAGGCTCTGTAGGCCCCTAACCCTGGTGCCAGGGCCCTCAGCTCTGCATGGGGTCCCTCCCCTCTGGCCCCAGGCTGTCCCCCTACAGAAGTGACAGCTGGTGCTGAGGGGCAAGGTTGGTGTGGGGAGACGGCCTGGTCAGGGCAGTAGCCGGCCACAGGGGGTCCGGAAGGGTTTCCCTGCGGGATGGGGAGGGCACAGGACATTTGACCCCGTGAGCAAAGGCAACAACCCCACACCTGCCGGCTCCCTGCTTCTCTGGGTGGGACTTTGTCGGAGAGAATCCCTCCCTGGCTCCCGCGTTCCTACGGGCCGGCCAGGTGAGGGGGCTGGTTCCCTGGACCCCACACACCCGCTGGAGGGCTCAGCCACACTGGATGGGAGTCCCCACGCCCGGCCCCTGGGGAGGGTGCCCTCTGTGTGCCCAGGCCAGCTTGGAAGGCCGCTGGCAGGCACAGGGCCGGGGCCAGCTGCCCGCTGCCCTTGCTGCCCGGGCAGCCACGTGAGGGCTGTTTGTGGAGGGGGCGTGGCTTGCTGCTCCGGAAAGGCAGCTCCTCCTCTCAGAGAAGTTCGTCCCCGTCCTCCTGCCAATGAAAACACAGAGATTTATTTACCTCAGTCTTGTTTGCTTGTCGGTCCTCACCGGAGGACATTTTCCCTTTGATTGTTAGAGAGAGAGTAGAGAGAGAGGGAAAGACCGAAGGAAACATCCACGTGAGAGAAACACGTCTACAGGTTGCCTCCTGCAGGAGCCCCCACCCGGCCCGGGCCTGGGCCGGGGAGGAGCCTGCAACCCAGGTACGTGCCCTCCACCGGAATGGAACCCGGGACCCTTCGGTGTGCAGGCTGACACTACCCACTGAGCAAAACTGGCTAGGGCTGAAGACATAATGAAAGAACACTTTTTAACACGTTCTTAATGATTTGAGAGAGAGAAACATCGATGGGCTGTCTCCTGCACTCCCGCTGCTGGGGTTCGAGCGGGAACCCAGCCTGCCACCTGGCATGTGCCCAGACCCCGACCGGATCAAACTGGTGGCCTTTGGGTGCACAGGGCCCTCCGGCCAGGGCTGAACATCTAGCTGACCGCGGAGGGGAGCCCAGGAAGGGAGCCCGGGGCAGGCTCCCCCGCGGCTCAGTGGGCGGGACGCTTGTTCCAACGTCTCTCTTCCTTTGCAGCCATGGAGCAGGAGGAGCCTGCCGGCCCACAGGTAGGGAGCCGGGTGGTTTCCCAGTCGGGGCTCCGTGGGCCAGGCCCCCGGGCCCTGCGGAGCGAGTGGGGCTGTGTCTCCCTCCCGGGGTCATTCCTGGCCTCAGTCACCGTGAGGAGTTGGAGTCGGAGGCGCGGGGCCTCGGGGACTGCACAGGGCTCTGGTCACCAGGCGCCCGCCCCGCCCCTGGACGGAATGAGCTTGGTGTTCGGGGTGTGGCCCCGGGTCTGAGCACCCCGTCAGGCCAGGAGGAACCAGACGCAGGGGTTGAGTTTTCGGGGCACTCCTGAGGTCCGGACGCAGCGCTCTGCTCAAGGTGCAGTGGTTTTCTAGCGAGAGTTGTCAGGCTTTTGCAGAGCTCGGAAGGATGGACAGGGAGAGGGAGGGCGCAGCATCCTCCACCTCGGCCTCTGCTGCTCTCCACGGCTCACTCCTCCCCACTCCCCACTCCGGTCTGGACTTCTGAAGCCAGGCTAGCTCTTCTCCTGGGGCAGCCGAGGGGATGGGGGGGCAAGCTGGCCAGCAGCCTTCTCTTCTCCTGAGGAGAGCTGGGATCTGAGGTTCTTACAGCCCAGGTGGCTCCTGGGCTTTCCCGGCACCCCTGGCGCTTGGGCTCCTGTGTGCCCGGGGCCAGCAGCTCAGGTCCTGGTGCCTGGAGGGTGCTGAGTGGGCCTGAGAGTGCAGGGTTCAGACGCATTAATGGCCTGTGGAGTGTATGCTGTGCACACAGCTGGGCTGGGGCACCCTCTGCCCTGCCGGCCCAAGGGCGGCCGTGGACACAGGTCTGGCTCCCGGACGGGAGCTGCCTTCCTGAGTCCCCGCCCTGACCCCGAGCGCTGTCTCTGCCGGGCCTGCCCTGCCTTCCTGACCTCCACGCTCTCCCTCCTGCAGGCTGGCGTCTGCCTGGGCGCCGCCCTGCAGTCCTGGTGGCTGCTGGTGATGGAGCAGCACTCACAGTCCACCATGGTAAGCAGCGCCCCGCCGCCAGCCCCTCGCCCCCGTGCGGTGCCTGTGGTCAGGTGGGGCCGCTGCGCAGCCTCGCTGGCCTGACGCTCTGTCTGCCCCCTCCAGCTGACGGGCATGGCGATCGGAGCCCTCCTGGCCCTGGCCCTCGTGGGCATCGCCGTCCTCTTTGTGCGCAGACGGCGGAGCCAGCAGCGTGAGTGCATGTCTTCGGGCGGCCCAGGGAGGGCACTGGGAGGTCCGGGTGACGCCCTCCCTGCCCGGGGCCGTGGGTGGAGACTCTGGCTGTGCAGCCCGGGGCTGAGCCGTGGGCCCACGGGGTCCTCGTTTGTCTGCGCTTCTCCAGTCTCGCCCACTCCGCCTTTCGTGGGAAGAGCACGTCTCTGGGTCCCCTTGGGGTGGGAGGTGCCAGCCTGGACGGACGCTGCCCTTCCAGCGCTGGGGGGGGGCGCGGCTCAGGCGGCCACTCTGCTCCCTGCAGGACAGGTGCAGCCCACCCCGCAGTACAGGTTCCGGAAGAGAGACAAAGTCATGTTCTACGGCCGGAAGATCATGAGGAAGGTAGCCTGGCTCCTGGCTGCGGCCCTCGCTCGGCCCTGACCCCGAGGCCTCGGCCCCCACTGGCCTGGCCGGGATGGCTCCATGGCTCTGTGCTGGGCTGGGGGGCCGGGGGGCTCTGGGGGCCTGGGTGGGGCTCCAGGAGGATTGAGGGGACTGGGGGGGCTCTGGGGGTCTAGAGAGGCCTGGGTGGGGCTCTTGGGGGGCTGGGGAGCATAGGGTGAGGCTGGGGGGAGGGGGCTTGCTGGGCGGTCCTGCCAGGATTTGGGGCCAGGTCCCCATGGGGTGGAAACCCCTCTCTGTGGATGAGCATCCGGTCCAGCTGGTTCCAGTGGCCTGAGCCCACTCCCGGCTCTGAGGGCGGGAAGGATGCCAGACGCTCAGAGGCCCGTGTACTCAGAGTCAGGCTCAGGGGCCCTGGTTCATCTGGGGACACGGGGACCCGCGCTCCTTGTAGAAAACAAGCGTCAGACAAGTGTGTGTGTCTGGCCTGGGTCCTGTGAGTTCTTCACGTCGAACTCCGTGAGGTCGGCCTCCAGTGTCAGGTGCTGGGCGGGAGGTCGGCTGGGGCTGCCCCCGGGTGGTGGCTGCTCGGAGCCCGGACGGGCCGCACCCGCTGTTGGCAGGGGCCGGGCCTGGTGTGGGTACATGCAGCTGCCTCCAGACGGCCCCGGCAGGTTGAAGGGGCTGGTGCGTGTGGGGCGGAGAGCCCAGGGGTATGGGGACACGTGGGAGGGCCCACACCCCACAGCAGCTGAAGCCCTGGGGCTGACCCTCACGTGGAGGGAGTCCTGAGGGCAGCAGAGGGACCAGGACAGGGGCCCTTGTCACACCACTGCCCACCCGGGGCAGCCCAGTTGGCCTGACCCTGGGGAAGAAGGGCAGGACTTTCCTGACCCAGGCGATGGTGCAGAGACGGGGCTGGAGGGAGCGGCGGGCAGGGCAGGGCAGGGCAGGGCAGGGTGAGCTCCAGAGGCTGTGAGGAGGTGGCCACAGTGCCTTCTGGAGGCGGCCCTGGCCTGAGGGGGTCACTGTCCAGAGCACCTGGGCTGGCTGAGGGCTGGGGCTGACCGCCGAGGCCGAGACCCGGACCCGGCCTGTCTTGGGGTGTGACTTGGCCTCCCCTGCTCTGCAGGTGACCACGCTCCCCCACACGCTTGTGGGGAGCACAGCCGCCCCCCGGCAGCGGGTGAGGAAGCGGACCAAGGTGCTGTCCTTGGCCAAGAGGTACGGGCCTCCCCCAGGGGTCACTGCCAAGCTCCCAGCTGCGGGCTCTGCTCCAGGGCGTGGGTCTCTGCTTTGTAGGATCCTGCGTTTCAAGAAGGAGTACCCAACCCTGCAGCCCAAGGAGCCGCCGCCCTCCCTGCTGGAGGCCGACCTCACGGAGTTCGACGTGAAGAACTCGCACCTGCCCCTG